CATCTCGTTACCTGTGTAAAAGACACCTGTCCACAGAAGCAATCAATCAGATTTCAAACTCTCCACCATGGGCAAGACCAAAGAGCTGTCCAAGGATGTCAGGGACAAGATTGTAGACCTACACAAGGCTGGAATGGGCTACAAGACCATCGCCAAGCAGCTTGGTGAGAAGGTGACAACAGTTGGTGCGATTATTCGCAAATGGAAGAAACACAAAATAACTGTCAGTCTCCCTCGGTCTGGTGCTCCATGCAAGATCTAACCTTGTGGAGTTTTAATGATCATGAGAACGGTGAGGAATCAGCACAGAACTCCACGGGAGGATCTTGTTAATGATCTCAAGGCAGCTGGGACCATAGTCACCAAGAAAACAGTTGGTAACACACTATGCCGTGAAGGACTGAAATCCTGCAGTGCCCGCAAGGTCCCCCTGCTCAAGAAAGCTCAGGTGCAGGCCCATCTGAAGTTTGCCAATGAACATCTGAATAATTCAAAGAAAAACAGGGTGGTCAGATGAGACCAAAATCGAGCTCTTTGACATCAACTCAAGAACACCATCCCCACCATAAAACATGGAGGTGGAAACATTATGCTTTGAGGGTGTTTTTCTGCTAAGGGGACAAGACAACTGCACCGCATCAAAGGGACGATGGATGGGGCCATGTACAGTCAAATCTTGGGCGAGAACCTCCTTCTCTCAGCCAGGGCATTACAATGACCCAAAACACACAGCCAAGGCAACAAAGGAGTGGCTCAAGAAGAAACACATTAAGGTCCTAGAGTAGCCCAGCCAGTCTCCAGACCTTAATCCCATAGAAAATCTGTGGAAGGAGCTAAAGGTTCGAGTTGCCAAACGTCAGCCTCCAAACCTTAATGATTTGGAGAGTATCTGCAAAGAGGAGTGGGACAAAATCCCTCCTGATCCCAGTGACCTCTGTGATTGCCATCAAGGGTTTTGACACCAAGTACTAAGTCGAAGAGGTCAAATACTTATTTCACTCATTGACATGCAAATCAATTTATAACTTTTTTGACATGCCTTTTTCTGGATTTTTGTTTTTTTTCTGTCTCTCTTTGTTAAAATACACCTACCATTAAAATTATAGACTGATCATTTCATTGTCAGTGGGCAAACGTTCAAAATCAGCAGGGGATCAAATACTTATTTTCCTCACTGTATATTATTATTATCCATTATTTATATGGCACCAATGTATTCCGCTGGGCTGTACAATCATAGCATGGGAATAATTGACAAAAAGTACTAGAGGTGAAGAAAGCTCTGCTCAAATGAGCTTACACTCTATGAGGTATAGGCACACAAGAGGAATAACATCATCATGTCAGAGGGATGGAGAGGTTGATAGATACTTAACGCCAGATGCGACTAAGGTGTTGGTCCATTCCACTGTCCTTTCTCGCTTTGACTACTGTAATCCGCTTCTCAGTGGTCTTATGTGCTCCCAACTTGCGCCGTTACAGTCCATAATGAATGCGGCAGAGAGGCTCATCTTCCTGTACGCCCACACCTCCCATGCATCACCCTTCTGTCAGTCCCTACATTGGCTTCCTATAAAATATAGAGCTCAATTTAAAATTCTGGTTCTTGCTTTCAAATTGCTACATAATGATGCTCCCACCTATCTATCCTCCCTTATACACAAGTATGTGCCGTCTAGGCCCTTACGATCTGCTGAAGACTTACATCTATCTTCTGTCCGTACTCCCACCTCTGATGCTCGCCTTCAAGATTTCTCGAGGGCTGCACCGTTCCTGTGGAACTTGCTTCCCTCCTCCGTTAGATGCTCACCCAGTCTCCACTCCTTCAAAAAGTTGTTAAAAACCCACTTCTTCATAAAAGCGTACCAATTAAACTGTTAATAGCTCCTGACTGATTCCTCTTCTGCAACTGTCACTAGTCTAATGCTATCCTTACCTTTCTGTGTCATTTTACCCCACTCCCTCTAGCATGTAAGCTCATTGAGCAGGGCCCTCAACCCCTCGGTTCCTGTGTGTCCAACTTGTCTGATTACAACTACATGTCTGTTCGTCCACCCATTGTAAAGTGCTGCGGAATTTGATGGCGCTATATAAATAACATAATAATAATAATAATAATAATAATAATAGATAAGGTGCCTGTGTTTAAATAAGCTGATAAAAGGGGTGTGTGGAAGTACAGAACAGTGAAAGAAGATTACAGGTACTAAGGATAGAGCTAATTCACATAGATTGTTGCGTAACTAGAGTGTAAGTTGTTTGTAATTATCTAGGTGTAGAATCAGATGTGCCTAATCTAGATATAAAATAATGGGCGTTTCACAAGGCATGTGTCCGGTTTGCCCAGGTATGCCCTAATGAGGGTCAATTAGTACTCAATGGCACTGTTGCAACATTTTGAGTTTTGATTAGCTTGTAATGTTTTTGGAGAAAAAAAAACATAAATGCTACCTCTATATAAATATAGTTATCACTAAAGGAAAAAATACATTTTGAAATTAATTCTCTGAGCGTACACCCTGTGCTGTCATTACTGATCCTGCTATCAGATGATATTGATATTTCAGCTAATGTAACAAATCAGCTTGTTCAGAACCTTCAGTAATGAAAGATTGCTCAGAGACTGGCCTTTAAAATGACCTCGGGACCAACCAGGGCAACATATTCTGACATACATACTTTAGCACAGGTAGGTAAGTAAATAATACACCTGGTAAGTTAACAATGCGCCTGCTTCAGTACATGTCCATGGTTCATTTCCACTGAGACATCTTCATGTGTACATAAAATCATATCTTTCAGTGTTTCAGAAAAACAGAAAGAGTTGGTTATCCCATTGTACTAGTATGCTCCCTAATCATCGTATATATTTTTTGTGAAGAACTGCAGAAAATTGCATAGTAATCCCTCAGTGGGGCTTAGATTTGGAATTACCGTTTTCCCTCTCCCCCCCCCCCAGATTTTATTTGTTTCCTACACTCATATGTGCATGTCTAATGACACAGGGCAAGCAAAAGTGGACCTTACCAATGGTCAGTATAAATCTTCTGTACTCCAACATTGACATTGTGAAAGCCAAGTCCATTGAACCCAAAGCTGGCTCAGGCACTTGCAATGCTGGAAGCTTAAAGGGACAGTTTATGCAGCATAACTTCATCTAAATGCCAGGAGGCCCCTACGCGCACCTTAAGCGGGTTAAACCATTCTCAAACAGTTTAACCTCAATGTAAGCCTCCAGCGCCAATCCTGAGGTCCTCCAGGCAGCATCCGGCTTCTGAAATTTCAATTTCAGGAAACGCTGAGTACCGCTGGGTATGGGTGCTCAACTGACGCTCTCAGCCAACCAGTAACTCCCCATTCACAACACTGGCATGAAAAAGATATGTTTCTTTTCAAGCCAGTTTTGTGAATGGGAATCATTGATGGTTAGAGCGTAATATTTAACCCTTTACTAACACATTATTTATTTTTAAGAAGAAGAAGAAGATTTGAAACATGGGATTAATCATAGGCACACCCTAATCCCCGCGGCACGCGCTATGTGCTTCCCTCCGTGGGCCGTTGAGGGAGATCAAAGATCTCCCTCACCGACCCACAGGTAGGGAGGGAGGAAGGAGAGGACCCAGGGAGCTCTTACCAGCAGCTCCGCCGGGATCCTCTTGCACGGTCGGACATCTCAGATCTCGCGAGAGTGAACTCTAGCCCCACAGGGCTCTCCACTGGACCACCAGGGAAGGCAGGAGCACGGTCCTCCCTCCCTACATAAGGTAAGAAGGGAGGGGGGATATTAACTAAATGGCCCCCACACATTGCACACACATATACATCACCCTTACACACACGGCACACACACACTAACAGCACCCTCACACTAACAACACCCTTACACACACAGCACCCTCACACATACACACACAGCACACACTAACAGCACCCTTACACACACAGCACACACTAACAGCACCCTTACACACACAGCACCCTTACACGTACACACACTAACAGCACCCCTACATACAGCACCCTCACACACACAGCACACACTAACAACACCCTTACACTAACAACACATTGTTACATCAACTGGGCAAACATTTTATTTAACCACTTTAAATTCTGTAGGCAGTGATGGTCTGATGAATAGTCTATGCCAGTTGGCACACAATCAAATACACTATAATAACATGGGGGATCCATGGGTCCTCGTCTAGGGCACAGTTCGTTTTGGTGGCAAATTTCAATTCAGTTTTAGTTATAGTCTTTTGACTAAAAAGACATTTTAGTTTTAGTCGTATTTTAGTCATCTGAATTGTTTTAGTTTTAGTCTAGTTTTAATGAACTAAATCTCAAAAATGTAAATTGACTAAATTATCAATGATCTATTCGTTAAGGAGTAATTATGCAAATGTTCATTTTTTGTTGCATTTGAGAACATTTTTTTATATTCGCCATTAGTCTATATTTTCAGATATATTTATTTAGTTACTTTTTTTCCTGCATCCTGTTTTAGTTTGTTTTTATGTTTGTCACTATTTATTAATTTATCCCAAGAATTTGTTTCATATTACCTGATCTTTTTCTCATGCTAGAGGTTAAAAAAAAAAGAAAATCTCTCTCTAGACATGATTCCTGGGGATTATTATTTAAACAGTTAATTTGGTTTTTGAAACCTCACTTGGCAAAATTTCTTAAAATTGAGAATCCAGCTTTGCTGAATAATCGTTATAATTTAACTACATATATATATGCGTGTGTAAATATATATATATATATATATATATATATATATATAGCATATTTATCTCAGTTTACCCCAATTATTATTATTTTATTATTTATATTGCGCCATCAGATTCCGTAGCGCTGTACAATGGGATTCTCTGCTTAACAAATAAACCTCAGCTTTGTATTGACGTTCAGCTCACATTCTTACTGTACCTTTAAGTACTCTATAGAGAACATTAGCCATAGAGTGGGCAGGGCTAGAACACTAAGCAGACTGTCAGTGACAACAAAGTATCAAGAGATCTAGTGCTTCATACACTGAGCACTTACCCCGGAGACCAATTCCTGGATTGAAGTATGGGAGAGGATCAGGCTGTCATAGTATCTGCAAGAACTGTCTACAGCACAGGTGTGTAATAAGAGTTAAATAGCTTTTATATAGAATAGTCAGCCTTAAAACTGTGCTATTATATAATGCTTTACTTTAGTTTTACAATGTGCAGGTTAAATCTATTACCTCCCCTTCTTCAATGGCATGTTTTGTATATGTTTAGTTCTTACTTTGAGCTGGTATTCGTTTGTGTGTTTGCTTTATCAACGTTCACCTGTATTTGTAGCCTATGGGGGAATGATAGGTGGATGTTACCTGGGGGACCATTTAATATTCGGGGAAGACAACTCTGTCTGCTGGATTCGGATGATTGTCTGTTTTACTTATGACATGCAGTTGTTGTCAACCTAATACACGATTTGAAGGGACTTACTGTGAAAGATCTGTGTATTGTACTGGCTGTATTAATGGGAGTCTTTTTATACATCGCATATCAATCCTTGCTCAACTGTTTAGCACTAATAGCATTAGAAATTGTAGTCATAAGACACATTTAGGTTGTCTGAGGGTGATGGTGGGAATGGAGTACCAGATGTTGGCTGTGAGTAATGAGATGTGCAGTAAGAGGTTGCCTTAATCTTTGCTCACCTGTTTAGCACTAATAACATTAGAAATTGTAGTCATAAGACACATTTAGGTTGTCTGAGGGTGATGGTGGGAATGGAGTACCAGATGTTGGCTGTGAGTAATGAGATGTGCAGTAAGAGGTTGCCTTAATCTTTGCTCACCTGTTTAGCACTAATAACATTAGAAATTGTAGTCATAAGACACATATAGGATGGCTGAGGTTGAGTGTGGGAATGGAGCACCAGGTGTTGGCTGGGAGTAATGAGATGTGCAGTGAGATCCCATTCAGTAAGGCGCAGTGTATAGGGTGACAGTGACACACACATATTGTGTGACAATTATATATATTAATTGATGTAAGAATAGAATGCGTTTACATGGTGTGTGGTTACCGGGTAGTAACAGGTGATCTCATGCTATGAGTCAGGACAGGTAGAATGACTAGGGAGAGGTGGTGTTGCTTGCACACAGAAACTTTGACATCATTTGTCAACAAACTGGCTATGCATATGTGCACTGTGTGTACACAGTGCTGCTAAAGGTCGGGCACATCCAGGTGATTCACTGAAAGTGGTTAGAGCAGTTTTATGGAAATGACAGCTTACAGTATATAATCTGTAGCTTTTTAAAGATAGCAAGGGACCAGAGAACCAGAGGAAGTTCATGTTGAGTGACACCTTAAAAGAATCGTTTTTTACTTTATTGAAAAAAATAAAAAGATTTCCAAATAACTGAAGTGCTTGCATTTTAGATTGTTTGATGATATGATTAATGATATCAGTAGATTTTTGTGTGATTTAACAGAATTTCAGCTTGGTGATGTACATATTAAAATGTATAATTACCTGGAGATGCATGTATGCCTACTCCAAAATGAAGTCCAGAAATGAATGTCTGTCAGTGGCTTTCCATACAGCCAGTCAGCCTGAAATAATGTACATGGCATGCTACAGGATATAACCTTGTACCAGCAGGTAGATATATAAACTTCTGTCTTCCACACATTTACAATTGTTGAACATGGAAAAGACAACAGAAAAAAAACAACATATAGACCAGAGTAGTAGAATAAGAAGCCACTGATTGGTGGAGCCTCTTCCTGGTCTAAAAAGTTTCTCCTTGTTAAGTCTGCTAGCAGAAACAGCTAAGATTCTGAATGTAACGTTACACTATTAAATAGAACTATTAAATCACCTTTAACTCCCGGTAACATTGTCTTCATGAGATGCACTGTTTTTTTTTTATTATTTAACCCCTTAAGGACCAAACTTCTGGAATAAAAAGGAATCATGACATGTCACACATGTCGTGTGTCCTTAAGGGGTTAAAATGTATATTTAAAATGTAGCCATCAACAAAGTAATCCAGCTAAGAAAATTGAAGCAATGCAAAAAAAGAGGCAAAATAGAAATATTGTTTAATTTCTCCAATTCTCTGTTTGCTTTCTCTATTCTGAATACCAGGTGAAAAAACTCGGGTGCTTGGTTTTATCTTTTTTGAACTGTATAGGGACTTATTTAGCATTTATAGGCTCTTATAGACAATACTGAATCCGATGAGTAAAGCGACACTTTAGACACCAAAATAACTTTGTCTAAATGAAGTTGTTATGGTGTCAGAGGCCCCTAGAGACACTCTTACTTCAAGGGGCTAAACTGTTCTGGAATGGTTTAACCCCTTAGTTGTCTCCAGCAGTGTCCATTCCCCTCAGCGGCTTAAAGCTTTTTAAATTTCACTTAGAGAATGTGAGGATTACTGCCGGGTAGGGGCGTTGCTGATTGGCTGAGAGCGGTCAGCTGATATTCTAAACCAATTAGTGACTCCCCATTCACTAAACAAGCCAGTTTTTTTTGAATGGGGGGTCATTGATTTAAGAAGCTGGATGCTGCCTGGGTGGGAGTGGAGATCACAGCTGGGGGGAATTTAGAGGTTAAACCATCTGAGAATGATTAAACCCCTTGATGAAGGATTACCCCTGGGGGACTCCTGCAACATAATTTTGAATAAATAAATCATCTAACGTTTTCTATGTTGACAGAACACTCTAAACACCATAACCACTACAGCGTGCTGTAACTATATCATTATTATAGCTATATTTCTTTGTAATTGTCCTCATTTTGTAATGTGTGGTTGTGTGGGTCGTGCTTGTACATTCTGAAACTGTGTCTCTTCTTTGTTTGTTGTATTCTTGGCTTGGGATCTTTTGCATTGGCAGAACTACCAGGGTCACACTGCATGTCAAAAGAAGGGCTCAGGGAGACCAGGGGCAGCTGTGGAAATATAGCTGCACTCAGGTGCTCAGGGACTAACAGGTTCGTGGTGTGCCTCGAGGGTGAGTCGCTTTGTCGGGGGCAGGCCAGGGAGAAGGGGAGGCTACAGAACTATAGCCACACACTGCTGCATAGGGCTCCCCTAAACCGTTTTGGGGCCTATCGTGGTAGAGGACCCTTACTAGGTGCAGGGAGTACCCTTCATTGATGTTTGCACAGGGGCTCTGTGGATATTTATGCCCTTTGTCTTTTGTAAATGTTTCTGCACAACTGGATAATATTTTCATGAGTTTTATAATTTCCTGTATTAGATGGTAATAAAGAGTGTTACCATGTGGTTATTTAGTAAAATATGGGTTGTTGGTAAATCAAAGTGAATTTTACATGTTAAAAAGTCTGCTATGTATTTAGTTCAGCTAATGCCTAAAATTTTATAAATTATGCAAATTTAAGGTCAAACTAGTCAAACTGGGGAAAAAAATTCTCTAAATCAGCTGCGCTTTCAGTTTGTCTTTTTTGGCTTCAAATTTCAAATTTACTTTGAATTCTCACTTTAGTAAATAGTTCTGTCTGAATTCCTAAAAATCAACAATTTCATAAATAATCCTGTTGATATATTTTCACATTTTTTGTGACAAAATGTACAATAGACTGTTGAGAAAGCTTTGTCGATTTCTTTGTTGAGTTGTTCCCTTAAAAGTTTAATTTTAAGATAACTCGGCACTATTCTAAATAATGTACATTGACAGTCATAATCGCCACCCATGCATCATAGCACGCAATTACATTGGAATGGCCAGAAAGATCCTCACTAGTGAAGATCTCCCAGGGTTAAGGCAGAGCAGCAGTGAGGAGACCCTCACGACATTGGAGTCAAGATAAGTAACAGCTTTTTTTAAATACAGGGGATTCAAAATCTAATGATATAAAAGAACACTCTCCAGAACGTTTGTTCTTGCCTTTGAGGGACAATAAGCAAGACTTTCTTGTTCAAACAAAATTAAAGGATTGTATTTTACAGAAAGTAAACAAAGAACACAATTAACTTGTCAATAGTAATATAGCATGTATTTGAATAATAACTTTCAAACAACCTTGAACCTCAGTAGCTAGGATGCCCTTACTGTTTGCAGGGACATGGACAAGAGTGTCTAATGGGCCCCTCATCTAACACATATATGTCATTCAGAGCCTGAATACCCAAAGGGTGGGTGTTCTGAATAAATATAGGTGCCTATCTGGGCCTGGACTTCTGTTTGGGAGGGGGGCCTCCTCAGCAGGCAGGTAGGTCTTTTGAGCTCCTCTAACTTGCTTGAGGAAATCTTGTGGTCTGCAACAATATCGGCAAATCTCAATGACTTGGAGCACCTCAGCCTCAAGGGAGTTAATACAGATATTGATGCAAGCCAGTCCTGCTCCCCCACCCGACTTCCAGGGATCATGCTCCTTAGCTCTCCTTCCACCAAACCACCAGGGTGCTCTCACTGGACCCCTTCTTGCCAAAAGGTAAGTAGGAGGGGAGAAAAACTCCTCCACACAAAAATTTCAGCCACCACACACTCAACACTGAATCAACACACATCAGTACACGTAGCTACCCACCACTAGCTGTAAGTCAATAAGCAAATGTTATGCTTTCTTAATGTTTGTCTTTAGTCGTATATGTGCGCTTGGCACTAGATTACTTTTAAAAGGACATTAGGAGCAAAGCAGGCATATTTACAGTAGATTTCAAAAATGCTTTTGTTTTTATTCTGAAAATGACTCTAAGCCCTGAGTGTAAATGGGTGGGAAAGGGCTTATTGAACATTATGTAAAACTTTAATGGTCACAACCCTATTTAGGAATTGCTAGTTCCTTCCGTGTGCTGTAAGGTGTGGCTAATTACACACTTGATTAACCAGATGCATTTTTTCATTTGTAAATACACTAATGCTAGACTTGTGCATAGTAGAACATTTTAGTTGAGCTGAACAATTTGTGCGAAACTGAAATTCATTTGGGGCCTCTGACATTCATTCATTTGGTGGTCTGGCTCGTCCAAATATCGACAATTAATAAAAGCAATACTCAGAAAAACATTTCAGACAAACCGAAAATTCTTTGGAAATTTGACATTTAGTGTTCTGCACAATTATTAACCTAAGTGTAAATTTCTAATTTAAAGTGACAATATAGTTACCAGAACAGCTACACCTCATGGTGAGTATATTTTGCAGTACCCTGATAGGCACATTTTCCAGCCATTTGCTTTACAGATCAAGTTAGAAAGAGTAGATGAAAAAGTACAAGAAAGAGGAGGCGCAGTCAAAAAAAAAATCTATATTTATATTTACTCCATATTTCTTAAATATATAATATATAAAATGACTTTTCTGCTGCTCTTTTTCTTTCCCTCTTCTGGTCACCTCTCTTGATCTGTAAATAAAATCCATTTCATGGCTGTCTCCTAACCATCAATCATCTCTCTTCCCATCAATCATCTCTCCTTTTAGTGCCATGGATGCAACTCTGATATTCCAAAGCAAAATAATATGCTCATCCATCGACCTAGCTATTAACTCAGTTATATGTCCGTGTGGTACTTTGGAGATACGGAATTCCACTGCACCGCTGATCGAACTAAATTTGGGTGAATTGCAATTCAGCCAAAACAGAATGCATAAATCTAATAGATACGTTAACGCTTGTCAGTTGTGCTATGGCCACTGGAAAACTGTACTTATCTTAGGGTTTTTAATGAGACATTTTAGCAACAAACAAGATGACAAGATGTTTTATGTCTATGCATCAATAGATAGAATATTTAGAGGATTATGATAAACAATGAGACTGAAAATTAAAGGGACTCTTAGAGCACCATATCCACTACAGTGCACTGGTGCCCTCAATGTAGTCAAACCCTTTGCAGTTTGACTTGTTACCTGAGGTACGCAAGGAACTGTTCCCTGCCTTATTGAGAGTGAGAGCTGGGAGCTCTCAAATCTTAACTAAATCCTGCACCATCCGGCTTATGCTCTGTCAATCAGTTGGCCATGACCAGGGGCGGATCCAGAGCCAGATCTTGGGAGAGGCAATTGTAGATTATTTAAAGAAATAATCCAGACACAATAGCCACTACAGCTCAGTGTAGTGGTTATGGTGCCAATAGTGCCGGGAACCCTCTCCCAAAGTAAGTAGTCAAACTGTTTAAGAACAGTTTGACAACTTACCTGAGGTCTGCTGGGAAAGGGGACTGTAGTAGGGCATAGGAGCAGTGGTGTGTGTGAGGGGTGAAGTGTGTGTGTGTGTGTGTGTGTGTGAGTGAGCAGTGTATGTGTGTGAAGGTTGCGGTGTGTGTGTGTGGGTGAAGGTTGCCGTGTGAGAATGAGGGTGGCAGTGTATGTCAGGGGTGCAGTGTATGTGTGGGTCAGTATATGAGTGTGACATTTGCAGTGTGTGTTTGAGGATTGCAGTGTATGTGTGAGTGTGGGGTAATGTGTGTGTATGGGGGGGCAGTGTGTGTATGTATTGGGTGGCAGTGTGTGTAGGGGGCAGTGTGTGTATGGAGGCAGTGTGTGCATGGGGGCAGTGTATGTGTATGGGGAAAGTGTGTGTATGGAGGCAGTGTATGTGTATGGGGAAAGTGTGTGTGTATATGTGGGCACTATGTGTATGGGGGCAGTGTGTGTAGGGGTGCAATGTATGTGTAGGGTGTGTGTGTGATAAGAAGGGTAGGGGGGCTTTTTTATAATATGTTTGTTTTTTTAAATTTAATTAAAATAAATACACATATGTCCCCCCCTCCCATCTTACCTTTACTGAGGGACAAGGGGGGACATTTCTCAATCCCTGGTGGTCCCAGTGGTGAGAGTGAACTCTAGCCCGCAGCTCCAGAACTTTGCATCATGCTCCTAGATTAGTTAGATTAGGTAACATTGTGGGATTCGGTTGAATACCTTGCTGTGCAGCATGTGTTTGTTTCAGACTAGGCTTACATTGAGATCCTGGAGAGCATCAGCAGGCTGTTCATGGGTAGATTCCACCTCCCAGGTGTGGCATATCAAGATACTGATTAGACCGTATGATTATTGTACAGGTGTGCCTTAGGCTGGCCACAATAAAAGGCCACTATGGATGGATTATCTCGGCAAAGGAGAAGTGCTCACTAACACAGGTTTAGACAGATTTGTGAACAATATTTGAGAGAAATAGGCCTTTTGTATACATAGAAAAAGTCAGTTCAGCTCATGAAAAATAGGGGCAAAAACAAAAGTGTTGTTTTTATAGTATTGTTCAGTGTAGTTATATAAGTTGGGGGAAAAACTCCACCCCATAAACGTTTACGCACATAACTTAACCCCTTCAGGACGGAGTCAATAGTGCACGTTCTTATCATAACAAAACGTAAACAAAAACTGGTATTTGCGCTATATGTCTGTTCAACCGTAATTCACCGCTGTCACATTAAGTGCACCCACACTTATTATATATCATTTTGTTCAGGAGAAACAGGGCTTTAATTTATCATTAACTATTCATATATGGAACATAATTTATTATGAATAAAATTTTAAAAAATGTGAGAAAAGATTTTTTTTTAAATTTGTATTTCCATCTGACATTTTGGCTGTTAATGTCATAATACTGTTAGGTTTTACTGCAAAAAAATGCACATATTTGTAATCAGCGATGTCTCACGAGTACAACAGTACCCCCCATTAACAGGTTTTATGGTGTTCTGGAAAGTTACAGGGTCAAATATAGAACGTTCCATTTTCAAATTGAAATTTGCCAGATTATTAATGTTACCTTTGAGACGGTGTGGTCAGGGCCGGTGCAAGGATTTTTGTTGCCCTTGGCAAAAGTAAAGTTTGCTGCCCCCCCATGTGACATCTCAATGCCTCACCAATATGATCTGCCATGTTTACTAACGCCAGTGCTGCAGTGCGCCGTGTTTACATTAAAAGGCCTGCAGGGAAAGGCTATAGACACCAGAACCACTACATTAAGCTGCAGTTGTTCTGGGGACTATAGTGTCCCTTTAATGTGAGGTAAATTTGAGATTAGTGCCACGAATAATATACTAGATTGCCTACTTACAACCAGATGAGGATGATGATGGGCTGCAGTCTGGCTCCACTGGTCTGGTGTAGAACAGGCTCTTTGGAGGCTGTTTGTAACTGAGGTCACAAAATTCAATGTTCTGGGAGAACGGAAAGCAGCTCCATTTTTTGGGGGCCTTTTACACAGCTCAAGGTCTGGGTGCCAGGGTCCACCTTCATGTTCCACCAATGAGTTTGTTCACAGGGGGTGGAGTGTGTGGGGGTTGTCCTGATATGTGTGTAAGGAATGCATTGTGTGAATCTGTGTTTGTATGTGTAAAGGCTGCAAGGTGTGTTTCTGTGTATGTACGGGTACGGGTATGCAGTGTGTGCGTTTGTAAGGGGTGCATTGAGTGTGTGTAAGGGGTGCATTGAGTGTGTGTAAGGAATGCATTGTGTGTGTAAGGGATGCATTGTGTGTAAGGATTGCATTGCTTGTGTGTGTGTGTCTGTGTGTGTGTAATGCATTGTGTGTGTAATGCATTGTGTGGCAGAGCCCTGTATGGTCCGCGGGTACAGTGAGGGAGTGACAGGAGGGAGCACTGAATGCTTCCCCCCAGTCAGCCCCTCTCCTCATGCTGTGCCCGGGCAAAGCTGCAGCCGTCTGAGGCTGCCTAACAGGTAGCGCCGGCCCTGGTTGTGGTAGCCCAGGAATGAGAATTACCCCCATAATTGCATACCATTTTAAAAAGTAGACAACCCAAGGTATTGAAAGTGGGGTATGTTTAGTCTTTTTTAGTAGCCACTTAGTCACAAACACTGGCCAAAGTTAGCGTTCATATTTGTTTTTGTGTGAAAAAAGCAAAAAACTAATATTTGGCCAGTGTTTGTGACTAAGTGGCTACTAAGAAAGACTGGACATACCCCACTTGCAATACCTTGGGTTGTCTACTTTTGCAAATGGTATGCCATCATGGGGGTAATTCTCATTCCTGGGCTACCATACGCTCTCAAAGGCAACATAACCAATCTGGCAAATTTCAATGTCAAAAAAATGAAATGCAAGCCTTATATGTGACTCTCTAACTTTCCAAAACACCATAAAACCTGTACATGGGGGGTATGTTATTCTCGGGAGACTTCACTAAACACAAATATTAGTGTTTTAAAACAGTAAAACATATTACAACAATAATATAGTCCATAAAAGTGCCGTTCGTTTGTAAAAAATGCAAAAAACGTTTACTTAAAATATCATCGTTGTAATACAATTTACCAGTTTGAAACACTAATATTTGAGTTCAGCAAAGTCTCCTGAGTAAAACAGTACCCCCTATGTACAGGTTTTATGGTGTCTTGGAGAGTTACAGGGACAAATATAGTGCTTGCAAATTAAGTTCTCTGCACTTTCTCCCTGTGTTGTCAGGCTTGTCAATCAAATTTTAATTAATCAAATCACATCACAAAAGATTACTTAAATATACATGTAGAATTTTAATATATATATGCATTTATAGGAATTTAAATTCTACGTGTATACTAATGTAATCTTTTATGTAATTATATGTATTTATCTATATATATATTTGCGGTTATTTGTATTTTATATATAGAGATATATATATATATATATATATATATATATATATATATATATATATATATAATGTCATTCTAAGTGAAATTACATATGTATATATAATTTATATAAAATTTTGTTTCAATATTTTATTTATTATTGTATTTATCTATTATTGTAATTATACGTATATATATATATATATATATATATATATATATATGTGTGTGTAACGTCATTATAAGTGTATTTTAATATTAAAATATGTACTTATATTAATTTTAAAATACACTTTGTATGACGTTACATATATATAATATGTATCTATAATATATATATATATATATATATATATATATATATATATACATTTCTATTTTAATTTTAAACTTGTCTAATGTTTTTATTATTTTTCCCACCAGCAGGGGGACTGTCTGACATTTCAGACAGTCCCCATGCTGGCAGATCCACAGCCAGCTATAGGGGGCCTCATTTGCCCGGGGAGGGCTGCCTGGGCTGTCAGGCAGCCCTCCAGAAAAGGATTGCGGCAGAGGTATGTCCACCGGGCCTCCAGGGGCTGCAAGCCGTTATGGCGTTCTATGCCGCCGCAACGGCTTTAAAGCCCTTTTAATGCGGGATGGCATAGAACTCCGTAACGGCGTTAAGGGGTTAATATTGTTTACCAAAATAATGCAACAAACCACAAATTCAATTGACGAACATTTATGGAACAAAATGGGAAATAAATTCCTTCTTGACTCCATAATGACAATCATGGTTGGATCAACAACCTGCCTTTTTCATAAATATTTACTGAATATGATAAGACAATCTTGTTGAGCAGAAAATTCCAAATATTTATTGTTCTTACTGTAAAGATCCTTTTCCTCTGCTTTAAGCAAAATTATCTCTCTTCCAGTTTCAAAGGGCTGACCTCTTGTCTATTGAATGCTTCTGCTAATGAATAGGTTAGCACACAGCGGTGTGTACTGACCATGTGTATACTTTAATAGTACTACCATATCCATCTGATACGCCTTTTTATAAAGATAACAAATGCATATTTTTCTAACCTTGCTTAGTAACTTTTGTTTTCCATTCCCCTTATTAAATATGTTGCAAGCCTATGCACTTTTTCTGCAGTATCCTTCCTTAAACCCAGTGCCCAAAATTGCACCGCATATTCAAGGTGGGGTCTTACCATTGATTTATAAAAAGGCAACATAATGTTTTGATTATGTGAATCCATACCCCATTTTATACAAGACAGCGCCTTAATAGCCTCTGCAATGACGGACAGACATTGTATACTGTTGTCTAGTTTGTTGAAAAGCATTGCTAAACATGCGGTGGGATACAGCTCAGATTTTGCGTTTTGTGATTTCTTTAGATAAAAATATAGTTAAGAATTTTATTTTATGTTTTATTTTCCTGTTTCAGCTTCATATATGTCTTTTGCTTTATCGGGGAGCTTTCCCCACTGTCTTTACTTGCACTGTAATATTACAACTCACTTAGTATTTAGGAGTTTCACGTCTTTAGAGCTTTAGTCCCAATTTGGGGTTAGTGTACTATTTACGGGTTACCCTCATGTGTATATATTTTATTGTGACGGGATTTCAGAATACTTTTTTGTAGCTAATTTCATGTGCACTTGTTATATTAGTGAGTGCTCATATATACTTTGCATTAGTTTTCCTATTTTAGTTAAGAAACGCACATGAATACAATGTTATTATATAATGTAGTTCAACTGCTAGTTTCCAACGTGTTACTTTTTCATAGTTGTATTTGGCTTGTGTACATTCTAAGGCTGAAGATTTCAGTATAATATTGTGATTCCATTTGATTCTATATAGAATCTTTGATGTACAATGATTGTTTACTGATGCACAGGTAAATCATCCTGCAGCTCTTCATTTACTTGTCTTTTGGATTATCTATGAAGGATTTGATTGGATGATATTGGATACATAAATAAAAATACAGTTATATTTGACTTATTCTCTTTTCCTACCTTTTTGGTATTTAGTAGTTTCTTATCTTAATTAAACTCACACTTCTCCTGGCGGCAGCAACGACCATAGCACACATCAACCCCAATACATACAAAACAAGCAAAGAAAAAAAGTTACCTGCGCACTAGCCCAAATCCCTATGCATTTTTAAATAAATGGAGGTTATTTAGTAACTTATTATTTAGTAAGCCCATCTGCCACGTCAAGGCAAACCTCTTGGTGGGTCCTACATTAACAATTCACTTTGCTTCCTTGAGCTTCAGGTAAAGAAATCTCTAATGAGACAGAGAGGGGTATTTTTCTAAACCCCTACATTCTTATTAACCCTCAATAGGGAACAGCATTGTATGATACAAAAGTGAATACAAATACACAAAAATAAGTCCTGCACTCAAGCTTCTAATACATCGAATGGACATTGGAGTTACTAAATAACCTCAATTTTTTAAACATGTATAGGTAACTCTTTTTTTCTTTGCTAGTTTTTGGGGATGATCTGTGCTATGGTCATTGCTGCCACCCAGGCGTAGTGGGAGTTTGAGTGCAGGGCTTATTTTTGTGTATTTTTTTTTATCTATAATTGTTTCCAAGACCTTTTCAGTTAATGTTATCCCTAAGTTAACCACATTTAATCAATATTTTTTTTTTTCGTGGGTTCTTTATTCCAAAATGCATGGAATTGCAATTATCTGTATTTAATCTCTTCTGCCACTTGTCTGCCCAGTCCCCCAATTTATCCAAATTCTTCTATAGTCTAGTTATATCATGTTCAATTGTATTACCTTACACTGACAGTGCAAACACTGACACGTGGCTTGCAATGCCTACTTCAAGCTCATTTATAACCAGATTAGACAGAAGTAGATGTAGGACAGAATTCTGATGCATTTCAATTACCACTTTCGTTCAAGCTGATAATGTTCTATTTATAATTTATCTCTGCACTCTATCATTAAGACAGTGTTCTATCCAAGAATCGGATATTTTATCTAAACCAACTAATTTCTGTTTAAATAGTAATCTGAGACACTTTAAAGGGACAACCCACTGCTCAAATACATTTTTTTTTTAAATTACAGTTTAGTAGATATAATCCAAATGAAAACACACATGCATTTCAATGAAATCTTTTTAATCGTGGTCTATCTAAAAAACACAAGTTCTCTTGTCTGCAGCCTTTGCAAGCCCTCCCCTTCTATCCAGGCCCAGACTTTAGGTAGCTGTCCAAACACAGACTTTCCAATGCAGCTCAATGAGAGGTTGTTACAAGGCAGGTGCCCTGAGCAATTTCTGCCTCTTGAGTTTAGCTACACTGAGTTAACCAAACCAGGTGAAACTAGGTTAATTTATAAAAGTTCCAATATCTATTGAAATCTGCAATTTTAGTAAAATTTAAAAAAGGATACACTTTCCACATAAACCGTTTCAGTAAGCTAAAAAGATAAAACCTTAATGTTGGGAGGCATGGTTTTAATCTGTTATATTGCATAGTAATATATTGAATCATGATTATAGTAAAGTAGGTGACACTTTATTTAACTAGCAGACAATGATATACTTTTTTTTTTTTTTACAGGTCGAATTTTAGAAGCTACTAAAAACTATTTCTGTAGCTCTACAATATTGACATAGAAACATGGAAACATAGAATGTGATGACAGATAAGAACCATTTGGCCCATGTAGTCTGCCTATTTTTCTAAATACTTTCATTAGTCCCTGGCCTTATCTTATAGTTAGGATAGCCTTATGCCTATCCCACACATGCTTAACCTCTATCACTTCAGCTGGAAGGCTATTCCATGCATCCACTACCCTCTCAGCACTGGCTGATCCGGGGGGGGAGGGGAGGGTAACGGGGCAATCAGAGACCTCCCTCCCCGGTCTGCAGACACTATGCTGACAGCCGGCAGGGGAGGGAGGGAGAGAGGACCTGGGAGCTCCGCCCGCAGCTCCTCCGGGTCCTACTCTCGTGAGCAGGGAGCTTTGCCGCGGTTACCACGGCAACGCACCAAATCTCGCTAGAGTGAACTCTAGCCCCGGAGCTACAGGCTAGAGTTCACTCTAAACACTGGAACCACCAGGGACTCCCCACCGGACCACCAGGGACATACATTTATTTAATTTATACATTAATTTAATACATTCTTTATTTATTATCAAAAAGCCCCCCTACCCTCCTCACCACACACTCACACATTGCCCCCCATAAACTGCCCACACACATACACTGCCCCCACACACACATACACTGTCCTCCCACACACACATACACTGTCCCCCATACACACATACACTGTCCCCCCATACACACACTGCCCCCACACACACACATACACTGCCCCCACACACACATACACACACTGCCCCCACACACATACACTGTCCCCCATAGATGCACTGCCCCCACACACACATACACTGCCCCCCACACACACACCCCCATACACACACTGCCCCCCACACACACATACACTGCCCCCCATACACACACTGCCCCCACACACACATAAACTGCCCCCCCACACACTGCACCCCTCACATTACACCACTGCTCCTATGCCCTACTACAGCCCCATATCCCAGCAGATCCCAGGTAAGTTGTCAAACTGTTCTTAAATGGTTTGACTACTTATTCTGGGAGGGGGTCCTGGCACTCCTGGCACCATAACCACTACACAGAGCTGTAGTGGTTATTGTGCATGGATTATTTTTTTTAAATAATATAAAAGTGCCCCTCCCGAGATCAGTCTCTGGATCTGCCACTGCCTCTCAGTAAAGTAATACTTCCTGATATTATTTTTAAACCTTTGCCCCTCTAATTTAAGACTATGTCCTCTTGTTGTGGCAGTTGTTCTTCTTTTAAACATAGTCTCCTCCTTTACTGTGTTAATTCCCTTTATGTATTTAAATGTTTCTATCATATCCCCCTTGTGTCGTCTTTCCTTTAAGTTCCTTTAACCTTTCCTGGTAAGTTTTATCCTGCAATCCATGAACCAGTTTAGTAGCCCTTCTCTGAACTCTCTCTAAAGTATCAATATCCTTCTGGCGATACGGTCTCCAGTACTGTGTACAATACTCCAAGTGAGGTCTCACCAGGGTTTTGTACAATGGCATGAGCACTTCCCTCTTTCTACTGCTAATACCTCTCCCTATACAACCAGGCATTCTGCTAGCATTTTCTGCTGCTCTATTACATTGTCTGCCTACCTTTAAGTCATCAGAAATAATCACCCCTAAATCCCTTTCCTCAGATGTTGAGGTTAGGACTCTATCAAATATTCTGTACTCTGCCCTTGGGTTTTTACGGCCAAGATGCATTATCCTGCACTTTTCCACATTAAATGTTAGTTGCCACAACACAGGCCATTTTTCTAGTGGATTTCAAAGTTGATCCAGAAATGTACCTTGAGATAGCATAATATATTGTTCGCTACTGAACTTCTATTCTGTTCAGAGTCCTACAAATATATTCATGAATATGGTCTGCTAGACCAAACCAGTAAAATAAAAACAACAAATATATTTCACATGCAAAGTAACTGTGCAGTGCACCTGTGTTGTTAAAACAGGTAGACATTGTAGATTGTACAAAATAAACTACATAGATTACATTTTTCAAATCTAGTATATTGTGCCACCCATATTGTGATGTTGTTGTTATTATTTACATTATTATATTTAGTATTATTTATATAATTATTACTTATATATATTATTTATAAAGCGCCAACAAGTTCTGTAGCGCTGTATATAGGTGGACTAACCGATATGTATTTGCAACAAGACGAGCTGGATGCACAGGAACAAAGGGTGTTGAGGACCATGCTCAAAAGAGCTTACATTCTTAATTACTAAATGTAAAATTTAAAAGAAAACTGAGTATCACATAAAAATAGTTATCTCACATTATATAGTGTTATTTAGTGGTTAAGTTCCAGTGAAGATTCCCCTTTAAGAGAAGTGATGATTCCCCTTTAACTCTGACAATGGTAGGACATTCCATGCTGTCCTAAAAATAGTGCACTATAAAGCCATTAGGATGGCATGGAACGTCCTTGCATTTTGGTGTGATACCTGGGTCTCCTCGTGTTTACTGATCCCAGACAGACAAATGAACTGAATGCAGCATTTAAAGTATATCCTGCATATAGCCTTTAAATCCCTTTAATCACTGCTAAAAGGCAAATGTGCACAGCCACTGTTTTTCTTAGCTTGCCCCTAAATGGAGGGAGAGACTATAAGGGTCTGAAAAAAACTTTATTAGTGTCTTCCCCTCCCCCCACCAATAGTGATTCGCGCTGGTCTTTCCAAGCTGCTCTGCACCCACTAGCGTACATACCGCGGTCACAGGGGTCGCAGTTGCGACCAGGCCTGTCACTCCAAGGGGCCCGGCCAGCCTGAGGAACCCTGCGACCGGTACCCGCTGCCATCTTTTGCGACCATAGCCCGCGCAGCAAACCGCCGGGGCCGCTGTCCAAGGGATCTATCGGGTGGCCCATGCTCACGTCACTCCTCCCAGCATATAATGATCAGTTTCGCACAAGGGCCCCATGGATTGTGTGTACGCCACTGTCTGCACCAATCACTGCGTGATCAGCAGAGATATGATGCAGGAGCTGCAGCACCCAAGGGAGGTCCTTCTCTTGTGCTGCAATCACACCATAGAGAGCTCTCATAGAGCACTCCGTACTGTGAGCAGGGAAGTCCCTCTTCTGACATTACTACACGTTAGTGTTAAGTTTACAGTTAGCATTAAGGTAGGGATATAGGGTAGGGATTAGTGTTAGATTAGGATGCCGTTGTAAAGTAAGGTTTTCTGCTGGGTTAGAGTTAGGGTTAGTGTAGGGTCAGGGTAGGTGTATGGTTAGAGTTATTGTAAGTATAGGGTTAGGGATAGGGCTGGTACAGGGTTAGTGTTAACTAAAAAAATTAATTTAGATTCTAGACACATTTTTAGGTTTTATTTTGGTTCAGAAGAGAACAATAGCCTCCATTCTCCAATGTATACATTTACTTAATAATATTAATTTTACCACCTGCAGCATCACTGGGGTGTCATCAGCCAGCTAATGTCAGTTCTGTGCAACTTTCATTCAGCTGATGCTCTCAGCCAGTGAATGTCGACACTGTGCAGCTCTGCAGAAACCGGAACCATTACTGGACCGCCATTACTGGACCGCCTGGGAGCATCGGGTCCCACGGGGACCCAGGAACGAGGGCAAACAGTTGCTAAACAATTTGTCCCATTATCAGGGAGCCGGCCCTGGATACTTCTCACATTATAACCAATACATCAAACTAGACGTTATGATGTTAGAAGTAACATTTATTTTCAATTATATATTTGTGGGTGATGATTAACTTGTAGCTTATTCGAGTCATGTTATGTAACATAAGGTATATTTAATTGACTTTAAGATGATGATTAGTCACACCCTTTAATATGTTTCTTTCCAAATATAAGTTGTGCAAGCTTTTGCAATGATTAATTGAAAAAAATCGTGTTGCACATTTAAAGGGAAACTGTCCCTTCTCAGGATTTTTCATATTAAGTTTGTTTACCCCCTATATGTAGAAAATGTGTTTTTTGATTTCCAAGAAATTAAATGTAATTTACATAAACCAGTTGCATTTGTGGTATGATAAATCAGACCAACTCAGATATATACAAGTGACCTTCAAATATAATAGCTCAATTATTTGTGTCCTTTAAATCATTAGACAATATATTTTGTTTATATTATTATCATTATTATTATGATATTTATAGAGCACCGTCAGATTCTGCAGCGCTTTACAATGGGTGGACGAACAGACATGTAGTTGTAACCAGACAAGTTGGACACACAGGAACAGAGGGGTTGAGGGCCCTGCTCAATGAGCTTACATGCTCGAGGGAGTGGGGTAAAATGACACAAAAAGGTAAGGATAGTATTAGACTAGTGACAGTTGCAGAAGAGGAATCAGTCAGGAGCTATTAACAGTTTAATTGATACGCTTTTATGAAGAAGTGGGTTTTTAACGATTTTTTGAAGGAGTGGAGACTGGGTGAGCATCTAACGGAGGAGGGAAGCGAGTTCCACAGGAACGGTGCAGCCCTTGAGAAATCTTGAAGGCGAGCATCAGAGGTGGGAGTATGGACAGAAGATAGACGTAAGTCTTCAGCAGATCGTAAGGGCCTAGATGGGACATACTTGTGTATAAGGGAGGATAGATAGGTGGGAGCAGCATTATGTAGAGATTTGAAAGCAAGAACCAGAATTTTAAATTGAGCTCTATATGTTATAGGAAGCCAATGTAGGGACTGACAGAAGGGTGATGCATGGGAGGTGCGGGCGGACAGGAAGATGAGCCTCGCCGCCGCATTCATTATGGACTGTAACGTCGCTAGTTGGGAGCACGTAAGACCACTGAGAAGCGGATTACAGTAGTCAAGGCGAGAAAGGACAGTGGAATAGACCAACACCTTAGTCGTATCTGGCGTTAAGTAGGGGCGGATGCGCGCAATGTTTTTGAGATGGAAATGACAGGATTTGGCGATAGATTGAACATGAGGCTTGAAGGAGAGGTCGGAGTCAAAGAGAACACCTAGGCAGCGAGCCTGCGTGGTGGAGCTGATGGTAGCACCGTTGACTTGGAGGGAGACAGACACAGGAGTAACAACACTTGAGGGAGGAAAGACCAGAATTTCAGTTTTGGTCAAGTTTAGTTTAAGGAAGTGGGCAGCCATCCAGTTAGAAACAGCAGAGAGGCAGTCAGAGACACTAGTCAAGAGGGACGGGGAGAGATCAGGAGAGGACAGGTAGATTTGCGTGTCATCTGCATAGAAATGATATTGGAAGCCAAAGGAGCTAATGAGTTTACCAAGGGAGGCAGTATAGATGGAGAACAGTAGGGGACCAAGGACTGAACCTTGGGGGACACCAACAGAGAGGAGTTGGGGAGAAGAAGCAGAGCCAGAGAAAGAAACACTGAAAGAGCGCTGGGAGAGGTAGGAGGAGCACCAGGAGAGAGCAATATCTTGTAGACCAATATTGCGGAGGATGAGAAGAAGCTGTTGATGATCAACAATGTCAAAAGCCGCAGACAGGTCAAGGAGAATTAGGATAGAGTAGTGACCACGAGATTTTGCAGCGAGTAGATCATTGGATACTTTGGTCAGTGCCGTTTCAGTGCTTAGCGCGGAAACCAGACTGAAGTGGGTCTAGCAGAGAGTTGGACTTGAGGAAGTCTGTCAATCTCGCATACACAATTTTTTCCAGGATCTTGGATGCAAAAGGCAGTAGCGAGATAGGACGACAGTTGGATGGGGAGTTAGGGTCAAGATTGGGCTTCTTTAGAATTGGGGTTACAGTTGCATTTTTGAAGGGTAATGGAAATATACCAGAGGAGAGAGAGAGATTGAGAATTTTAGTGAGAGGTGGAGAAAGAGAAGAAGACAGAGTAGGGATGAGATGCGAGGGAATTGGATCTAGGGAGCAGGTGGTGGGGTGGGAGGACTGGAGCAGAGCAGAAACCTCTTCCAATGTGGCGGGTGCGAATGAACATAGAACAGCAGAGGGAGTGAAGTTAGGGGAAGTATTGTAAGGGGAAGAAGAAAGATGATATATCTCTTCTCTGATTGTAGAGATCTTGTCAGTGAAGTGAGTTGCAAAGTCTGAGGCGGTCAAGTTAGTAGGTCGAGGAGGAACAGCAGGGCGAAGAAGAGAGTTAAATGTGTGAAATAGTCGTTTGGGTTCGCGGGAGAGTGTGGTTATGAGGGTATTGAAGTAATTAACTTTTGCAGAGGAAAGAGCCAAGCTGTATGAGCTCAGCATAAATTTATAGTGGAGAAAGTCAGATGCACAGTGAGACTTTCTCCAACAGCGTTCAGCAGTTCTGGAGCATTTTTGGAGGTATCGAGTGAGCTTGGTGTGCCAGGGTTGTTGTTGGGGGGGCCTGCGGTGTTTAAATGTACAAGGTGCCATGATGTCTAGTTGAGAGGAGAGGGTGGAATTGTAGAAGGAGGTTGCAGAACTAGGACAGGTGAGGTTTGAGATAGGTAAAAGGAGAGTTTGGAGATTAGTGGAGAAATGCTCTAGGTCAAGACATTGGAGGTTTCTGTGAGAGTGATGTTCAGACGGTGGTGTCAATTGGGTCTTAGGTATGCCAATGTCAAAAGTCAGCAGATGGTGGTCAGATAGAGGAAAAGGAATATTGGAGAGATTAGAGGCAGTACAGAGGTTGGTGAAGGCAAGATCAAGAGTGTTTCCTGCTGTATGGGTTGCTAGATTGGACCATTGCGTAAGGCCAAAGGAGGAGGTTACAGAGAACAGACGAGAGGCATCAGTGCAATTGGGGTTATTGATTGGGATATTGAAATCCCCAAGTATAAGGGAAGGAGTGCTAGATGAGAGGAAGTGGGGAAGCCAGGAAGAAAAGTGCTTAATGAATAGTCTAGGATAACCGGGGGGGCGGTAGATGATAGCAATTCTTAAAGGAGTGGGTTTAAATAGGCATATAAAACAAGCATATCACACGTCTCTGGTAGTTATTGCTGACTAAAGGTTAAATGCCTCTAACTCAGGCTTTCCCAAACTCCGGCCCTCCAGATGTTGCTGAACTACAACTCCCATGATTCTATGAATGAAATAGATAGGCTGAGAATCATGGGAGTTTTAGTTTAGCAACATCTGGAGGGCCGTAGTTTGGAGAAGCCTGCGGTCTAAATGATCATCTATGAGTGATTCAGAGTTAAACCAAAAGTCTTCCAAAAACAGCACCTGTATGGAGAAAAGAGATTTTAGAATGTCAAACTCAGGATCCAGAGTCTAATTTTCAGAGGGGTACAGAAGGTGAATGGCCAGAAACGGTTAGTGATTTGACCTTCCCCATCTGCCCCAGATCCACCACTAATGGGCATCTAGCAGTAAATGTATGGCTTGGGTTTAATCATAAAACAGAGAATTCATGTAAAGCAGTGTTTAAGGTAATAGCTATGCCTTTTAAAGGTTTTGTAGGAGGGAGGGATAAATGACTAGAACTTGTGAGATAACTAGCATGAAGTGTATATCTGTGTTTTGTCAGGGATAAACTAGGGATTACCCAGGAGGCCATGTGTTGAATCTAATAAAATGTTAATGTCACTTTGCAATTTCAAGAAATACCTTCTGAAAGTCGTAATCACTTATGATCTCATTTACATTCAGCATTATAGTTTTAAGAACACAAGTCCACTTTGACACAATCAGGTGAATTATTGGATTGTGAGATCAGTCATGTGAGGTTGTAAAGAAAGGTCGACGCGTAAGACATCAAAGGTAATGGAAATCTGTGCAGACATAGGAGCAAAGTTTATCATTCGGAAACGTGCATTTAGAGAGATAGCACATCATGTGGAATAATTCAAACACGAGTCCATTTTTTTTACTCTATCGTTTTTCATTGCAGGTGGTGATCACATAGTATGTATAAAATACCAAGAAAAAAGAAAAAGGAAGACCTAGGGGAAAAGGGGAAAAGGGGAGAGGGGGAAGAAAGAAAACCACACCCCTCCTACCCCGATACTTCCTTTTTCTTTTTTCTTCATCAATACGTATGTGAGGGTTACCCCCCAAGTCAGGTTGCCCTGGACACACATTCGGCTGATTTACCTTTTAGGGTATCAGCTGTTCCTAACTATGTATGTATAAAATACCACAAACACTCATAGAGTGTCCAATAAATGGTGGGCCTGATTCAAATATATACATGTATAAAATATTTCCCCATCATAAACAACAGTTCTTATTTGAGAATTGGATTTATTATAATATTTGTATTTATTTAGGGCCAATAGACATATTTTCTTAGTGGACAGACAGACATGTAGTGGGTGGAGGTGCATGCTTCACCCTCACACCAGGAAAATAAGGAGATTTGAACCAGAGGGCCAGCAGCACTTGATTTCCAAATCTGAAGATTCTGTGTGAAACTTGGCATGTCTTAGATTTACTAAAAGAGGCTGTGACTACGATAATACTTGTGGACAATACACCATAATAGTAAAGGGATACTCTAATTACCAAAACAACCTTAGTTTAATAAAGTAGTTTTGGTCTATAGATCATGCTTCTGAAGTCCCACTGCTCAATTCTCTGCCATTTAGGAGTTAAATTACTTTTGTTTGTTTATGCCACTAAAGCCACCGACCCTGTCTGTGATTCACACAGTTTAGATCAGCGGTAGTCACCCTGGTGCCTATCGCCCACTAGTGGGTTTTTCAAGCTTTCATGGTGAGCAGTGGAGGTTGGTTTTATCCGCTACCCTTGGTTGTCCAGCACAACCACATGGTCCCCCAAAACGTGCGCCCAGTCATTGACCTCATAAAAACGACAAACACGCTTTGCGTTAACGCTTCTGTTTGATAAATCTCTCTCTCGATGACTAAAAGGAAGCGCTTGTGCGACTGCATTCTTGATCAGGACGATGTAACACGCGGGAAGAGGAGAGGAGCTGATGCACTCCAATGTAAAAGCAAGAACTGAAAGAAATGTGATGTTTAAAGTAGCTGATATTAAACTTTGGCAAGCAAGTAGTGTTATTTTCTGTTTACTTGGTTTACTTAACATTAAAAAAAAAGGATGGAGAGAATAAAAAGATAGGAAAACGGAGACTCCTGATATAAAGATATTCCTTTTTTCAGTTGTTTTGTTGTTTGTTAATAATAAAGTAGGATACCTTCCTGCCAGTGATTACAATAAGAAAGGAGAAAAGAGTAGAAGAAAGAAAAGAAGAAAATGTAAAAAAAAGAAAAGAAAATGAAAATATATCCAGTTTTCACATTTAACTTTATCTTTTTCTTCAATTTAAGCAGCTCCAATGCTAGTAGGCGCTGCATTGATGACGATGCAGAGACTCATTACATTTAAATTATATATGTATATATATGCATAAAGTAGAAATAAAAAGATACATTTATGCACATATATTTTAAATAACCCTCCTTTCTACAAATTTTGCAAACTTGCGCTAAAATGTTTTAGGTAATGTGGCACAGTTGGGTGGTAAGGAAATGTTACCATGAAAAAAGACACATTTAAGTGGGTGGTAAGTATAAAAAGGTTGACTACCTCTGGTTTAGATGTGGTTTTTTTTGCAATCAGATCTTACAGTACGGTGTATTTACGTTAGTTCTTGTCTCATGCTCTGTTAATTGAAAGCTAATTGCATACCTGAGGCTGTTGTAGATCATTAATAGCAGAATTTCTAAATTAAACACACTGTGCAATGAGGGAAGATTACATTTTTAGTTAGTATGTAGGTGTCAGGGGTCTGGTCAGGAAGGGGTGCTGACCAGTCTATAGGTTGGAACCCAGAATACAAAGAAACCAATATACACACAAATTAAGGTAAAAAACAAGTGTATTTATATTTACAAGGAAGACAATAAAATGAAATATAAGAACACATAACAGAATGTAAGAGAAGGGCCTCTGGATACAGGGAAGCATAGGCGGGGCAGCCAGCACAGGAATGCAGGATAGGTGGGGCAGCCATCAAGTGAATGCAGGATAGGTGGGGCAGCCATCAAGGGAACGCAGGATGGGTGGGGCAGCCATCAAGGGAACGCAGGATAGGTGGGGCAGCCATCAAGGGAATGCAGGATAGGTGGGGCAGCCATCAAGGGAATGCAGGATAGGTGGGGCAGCCAGCACAGGAACGCAGGATAGGCGGGGCAGCCATCAAGGGAACGCAGGATAGGCAGGGCAGCCATCAAGGGAACGCAGGATAGGCATGGCAGCCATCACAGGAATGCAGGATAGGCATGGCAGCCATCACAGGAACGCAGGATAGATGGGGAAACTATCACAAGAACGCGTGATAGGCTGGGCAGATATCACAGGAACACAGGATACACGGGGCAGATATCACAGGATAGGCGGGCAGTTATCACAAGAACGTGGGATGGGCAGTTATCACAAGAACGCAGGATAGGCAGGCTGTTATCACAGGAACGCAGGATAGGCGGGCAGTTATCCCAGGAATGCAGGATAGGCAGTTATCACAAGAACGCAGGATAGGCAGTTATCACAAGAACGCAGGATAGGCAGTTATCACAGGAACGCAGGATAGGCGGACAGTTATCACAAGAATACAGGACAGGCGGGCAGTAATCACAGAAATGCAGGATAGGCGGGCAGTTATCACAAGAACGCAGGATAGGCGGGCAGTTATCACAAGAACGCGGGACAGGCGGGCCGTTATAACAAGAATGCAGGATAGGCAGTTATCACAGGAACGCAGGATAGGCGGGCAGTTATCACAAGAACGTGGGATGGGCAAGCAGCTAGCACATGAATGCAGGATTGGCAGGCAGCTAGCTCAGCTATACAGAACAAAAGGACCAGATCAACAACATTATTAGCAATAATGAACTGGCAAACAAGAAGAGGTGAGGCTCAACTAAACAGGGAAAAGATAATTACAAAGTAATATCAGCTGGGAACAGAGAACGTTCTCAGTCTGGGTGCAGCAGCCTGAAATAGCACCACAGACAGGTAGTGGCACTATGAGGTACTGCACAAGACTGAGCGTAAACCAAACCTTGACAGCAGGGTCTGTGTGAGTTTGGAGATATGTCTAGGAATGTATAAACAAACGAATTTACAGCGGCACTGTCACCCCCACCCCCCCTGCAAATATAGTATTTCATAAAGATACAATCTTTCTGAAATACTCATACTAACTGTGTTAGCAATTCACTGAAATTTTAACCAAATCAAAAGATTCTGTAGAGTCTATTTTGTCTCAGTATATTTCCTATGTCTGACATTTCTAGACACTGGGCGGAGCCTAGAAGTGCAATCTACCAGCCGTCACTAGTGACAGCTGCAGAGATACTAGCTCTCTCCATAGAATTTAATGCATGCGCGAGCGTACAGCAGCAGTGATGCAATCGAGGACCTGCCAGAAGAAGATAGCGGTGCCTATGAGGGATAGGTTACAGTAAGTAAATCACACATTTCCCTGCTCCCCCTTCAGCTTCTGATCCACCAGTGTCTATGTCACCATTAGGGGACACTGCCGCTTTAACTGCTAAAAGGCAGATAATTGAGGAGTGAGACTGCAGGGGCATGATCTATACACTGTGACAGCTCCATTAAGGTAAAGTTGTGGTATGTGAGTGGGTGCCTGTGTGTAGGTTTATTACAAATATCTGTTTTTATTCCCTCTGCAGTGACTGTCATATCATTACTTTGCCTGTCCAGCATTAGTCCGGCATGGTGCCAGATAATGAACGACTCACAGGATCTGTCTTCGTTCACTTTAAGGAATTCAACCCAAACAACAAATGAAACAAGTTTGGATCTTGCAGAATCCTTTGGAAATAAATACAATATCTACATAGGGCTTTTATTGGGAATCAGTTCCAGTCTGTTCATTGGCTCCAGTTTCATAATGAAAAAAAAAGGCCTTTTGCGATTGGCTGAAAAAGGAGTCACCAGAGCAGGTAAGCAGAAAAACATGTTTGTTCGTGATAAGATAAACGTTTGAGCCATTCACTCTTGTGCAAGAGAAAGGTGACACTAATACAATAATTATATTTCTATTTTTATGTGGGCATTGAGCTAAAAATCAAAGGTTATAAATGCTGACATCCTCAATGAATGAGAATTTCGAGATTTCCTTTAAGCCCTTAAGGACCAAACTTCTAGAATAAAAGGGAATCATGACATGTCACACACGTAATGTGTCCGTAAGGGGTTAAGCATTATTGATCACAGCACGTGATAATGGATCATCTGTCTGTAAAGGTTCCCATTTACCTAACATCTGGTAGGCTGTGGGACTACCAGCCTTGAACTGTATGTGATATTGGATTTATTTTGCTGTATTTATTTACACCAGGAAACGTTACTAGAATGTGTATTGGAACCTGCAGTGACGGTATTACCCGAAGGTGGGATTTTTGTACTGTTTGAAGGTTAACGTCCAGCACCCAAATATTAGATGCATTAGATAAATTAGATTACAGTTAGATCAGTTTTGCTGCATAGAAGTTAATCCCTTTTTCAGACTCTGTAAAACATTTCTGTGTCTGGGCTTACACTGACCATTTTATGAATTAAAAGCAGATTTTACCTAGACCAATGTTCACTTTTTCCAAAGTTCACCGGTTAGTATTTCCAAGAGAGTTATGTTCAGCTCCCTTTGAATGTTGCAAGGTATAATAAATGTGTCTTTCTGTTTGAGAATTGCTGGAGTAGTCATGTCTTTGGGGTGACGAGTTTTACATTGTTCTGTCTCTGTGTTACAAGTAATTTTGGTTTCTTGTACTTACAATGACATTAGTTGTAAACCAGCTAGAAGAACCTATTCTTAATATAGCTGTTACATGCATTTAATTTTGTTTGGTTTCAGTTTAATCTTGTAAAAATTCGACATATAGGCATCTGACCACATAGAACTTGGACAATGGGTATGAAAAACTCTCTTTGGACAGACTTAATTTGGAACCCTTGTTTATCAAGGGCACACAGTAATATTTCATAGTGCACTTTTATATAGCGTACCACTCCTGCACTTAATGCAATACTCGTTCCTATGCCATCCCTGTGAATCACATGATTTTGTCATAGGCTGATCTGCTCAATTCATACCACTACATACCATCCCAGACACTGTATCACTTTTTTATCGTCAAAAGAACACTCCACTGCCCAAATTAAAAAAATTAAATAAAAACACTGTTTAGTAGCTATACTAAACATACCTTTATTCAAATATAATTTTTTTCATTAGGGTATATCTAAAAACCACTTGCAAAAGATCTGCAGCCTTTGCAAGCCTTCCCTTTCTAACCCCACCCAGACTCTCTGTGGCTGTCCAATCACAGGCTTCCTAATGCAGCTCAATGAGAAGTATTTGCAAGGCAGATGCCCGAGAAATTGCTGCCTCTTGAGTTTAGCTGCATTGAGATCACCAAACCAGGTAGTAAGCGACTAGTTGTCTGATTGACAGCCTGGAGAGTGTAAAAAGGTAAATTTATATAAAAGAACATTTCTATTTAAATCTCACATTTTTAAAATGAAAACACTCTACACACATAAAGTTCTTCAGCAAGCTGGAGTCTTGAGTGTACCTTAAATGCATTGCTTTCATGCTAAATAGCAGCTCTCTTTTAATCCTTATTAATCCATACCACCTCACAGTTCTCAACGCTCCTGTAATCCATACTGCTCCAAAACCATACCACACACTGTAGCTCTCCTGTAATCCATACTGCTCCAAAACCATACCACACACTGTAGCTCTCCTGTAATCCATACTGCTCCAAAACCATACCACACACTGTAGCTCTCCTGTAATCCATACTGCTCCAAAACCATACCACACACTGTAGCTCTCCTGTAATCCATACTGCTCCAAAACCATACCACACACTGCAGCTCCCCTCTAATATATACTGCTCCCAAACCATCCCACACACTGCAGTTCCCCTCTAATATATACTGCTCCCAAACCATACCACATACTGCAGCTCTCCTGTAATCCATACTGCTCCCAAACCATACCACATACTGCAGCTCTCCTGTAAGTTATACTGCTCCCAAACCATACCACACACTGCAGCTCTCTTGTAATCCATACTGCTCCCAAACCATACCACATACTGCAGCTCTCTTGTAATCCATACTGCTCCCAAACCATACCACATACTGCAGCTCTCTTGTAATCCATACTGCTCCCAAACCATACCACATACTGCAGCTCTCCTGTAATCCATACTGCTCCCAAACCATACCACATACTGCAGCTCTCCTGTAAGTTATACTGCTCCCAAACCATACCACACACTGCAGCTCTCTTGTAATCCATACTGCTCCCAAACCATACCACATACTGCAGCTCTCCTGTAATCCATACTGCTTCCAAACCATACCACATACTGCAGCTCTCCTGTAATCCATACTGCTCCCAAACCATACCACATACTGCAGCTCTCCTGTAATCCATACTGCTCCCAAACCATACCACATACTGCCTGTATCTAGTTTTTATACAGATTACATTTTCTATTGCAGTAGCAGTGACTCTATTCTCTGCTGCCCATTTGCAGAGCTGCACGCTAATGCTTTAAGTGTGTGCCTCCAGTCTATGTACTGCAAGGTGGCACGAAACAGCAGTCATTGTAAAATGATACCTATCTGCGTAAACACACGTGTTTCACTAAGTTCAACATGCAAAACCGTGTTTGTTAAACAAAGGTTAAAATAAGAGTTCAATAAAAAAAAAAATATTCTCTGTTGGCATGAGAGCCAAATTAATGTAGGGGCTGTTGGTGTTGAAGCTCCAGGCCACACACTGCAAGAAGCCCACACTCCTAGATTTCTGTTTGGGATTTTCTTTTTGGGTGATCTCATGTGTCCTTTGAATGCCGAGTGCCTTTGTCACAGGCTTTGGCCAGGTACGCACAGATATCCTATTGAATCTGACTGAGAATCTTAAGCTTCATTGACTGCCAAAGTGAAACACACTGATGGACACTCTAATGTACAAAGCGGAATGTGGCAGACTACATTGTAGACATCTGCCAGCACTGAGGCACGAGACATAATTTAAAATTAAAAACACTTAAAGAGATATTCACTAAAGCTAGGATTTCAATTTTTGGAATTCAATGGGAATTTCCAAATGTCGGAGGAAGGGGGGGGGGGGGGGAAGAATCAATAAAATTAGAATATTTCTCCAAGTCAGTTCTGTTTTCAGTACGACTGTTTTGGCCTTAAATTTTAGATTCACTTTGAATTTCCAGCATTTCTCTCTTCAGTGAATAACCTTGTTTGTGTACATTGTTAAAGCAGACATCTCAAATAAGTACATTTCTGCAACCCAATTTAGGTGTGCAGAAACAAACTAAACCTGAATTTATATATCTGTACACTGATCTGTCATTCAACAGTTGTGTAAATAGTATACACTGATCTGAGAATAAATATAGACATGATGGATTTGGTGAATATCTATATATAGAGAGAGATGTATAATTGCATTTTGTCTTCCACATAGTTTATAATTTGCACCATTGTTAAGCAAGATGTTTGATTGAGATAATTTCACCATGAAGCTGTACATGTTCCAGTTACTCCCATTCAAATAAAATGTAAAATTCCAAGTAAGACACACCTTTAGAAATTAACCCCTTAGGGCTGGTAGGATATTCCATGCCGTCTTTCACAGACTGGTCTGTTCTTTAACACGGCATAAAATGTCCTAAAGGTTTGGTGTGAGCAAGATTAAATCCCTGCTCACACTATGGAGACGCAGGTATCAATTGATACCTGGGGATCCACTCATTCAGCTTGGGCCATATTTAGTGGTCTCAGACTGACCAATTAGGTGTATGTAGTGCTCAAAGTGACAGGGTCACTGGGCAGGGTATCTCTGCTTGTCCCCTGCCTTCTGTGACCACCCCAGTGCTGCACAGCACCAATCACACAGCATGGGTTAAACACTTACCTTTCTCCAGCGCCGGGCTCCCTCGGCGCGCTGGGGACTCTCCTCCCACTTCCGATGTCATCGGCTGAATGCGCATGCGCGGCAAGAGCCGCGCGCGCATTCAATCAGTCCATAGGAAATCACAGTGAGAAGCGCGGAAGTGTCTGGATTAACCCATATGTAAACTTAGCAGTTTCTCTGAAGCTGCTATGTTTACAGCTTCAGAGTTAACCCTAGATGGACCTGGCACCCAGACCACTTCATTGACTTCATCCTTTAAAGGGATTCTGTAGTCACCAGAATCACTACAGCTTAATGTACTTGTTCTGTCTCCTGTCTTTCAGGATTTCAAATGTAAACTCTGCCTTTTCAGAAAAAAATCAGTGTTTACATTACTGCCTTGTAACACCTCTAGTGGCAGTCACTCAGACAGCCACTAGAGGTGCTTCCTACTCCAGTGCTGCACTATGTGCAGCAACTACATTCTGCGTCTCCACGCTATGCATACAGATGCTGAAGGCTCTCCATAGACATGCATTAAATCAATGCATATCTATGAGGAAATGCTGATTGGCACATCACTTTGTTTTGCCACGATTGCTTAATAGCGTCCCAATGCTTTGGATTGGCTAAGATCATTAAGATTTATAATCTCACCCAATGAGGGGTGACAAGCCACAACAAGACAGGCGTGGTGATGTAGAAAAGGTGAATTTACTACCTTTTAACTCCACTCTGAGGGGGACGGTGGACCCCGTGTATTCCTAACATTATAGTGTTTCTTTAAGAAGTTAAATAAATGGACTGTCATATTTTCCTTTCCATTTTAGAAGCTTATACTGTACAGGATATATATTTTTATTTATTTTGTGAGTTTTGTATAAGCTTATTCCATTGTTTGAAAACATAACAGTACCAATCCAAGATTTCCAGATTATATTATTTATAACTATCTCAGTGACGCTGTGCAATCTGCACACCAGGGATGTTAGGAGTCAATACAGCTTTGAATTGTCCCTTTTAAAAGAATAATACAAATTAATTAAACAGGAACTATACATTTTACTAATTTTCACGTATGTCCTAGACAGAGTTTAGATGTTATTTAAATCTAATTTTATTGACTTATAAGAAGATCATTGTAGATTTTAAAATATAATATTTTGCTTTGTATTGTGAGGAGATGATCTTTAGCATGCATGTATGTGTGTGTATATGTATGTATGTGTGTGTCTGTGTGTATATATATATATATTTATATATATATATATATATATATATATATATATATATATATTTATATATATATAAAATAAATAAATAGCTTGGCACTCTCCTTACCGGTATTATGAATATATCTGCCTGGGTGCCATCCACAGTGCGTCCAATATATAAACAAAGAAAGATCCAGGATGCACTCGCAGGACTTTGCCAAAAATAATGTGATTTATTTAAGTGATGTGCATACAGCAAACAAAAAACTACGTTTCGACCCCTGCGGATCTTTTTCAACCTTGAAAAAGACCCGCAGGAGTCGAAACGTCGGTTTTTGCACATCACTTAAATAAATCACATTATTTTTGGCAAAGTCCTGCGAGATATACACACACACATATATTAAGGAATTTCCAGGGATTCAAAATTAATTTCAAATTTATAATCAAACTGGAAGCATAGCTAACTTGAGGATTTTTCCCATACTTTTTTAGCCTTATTTTTATTTTTTTATTATGATTTTAGAAAGATTAAATATATATATATATATATATATATATATATATATATTTAACAGCATTTTAGTAAACTATATTATTCCAGTGTATTTCCATCCAAATCCAATCTTAGATAGATGGTTATTAGGTAAGAATATCTGGGAAATTAATATAGTCTTGAATTAAGTTCCATTATACTTTGATATTGGATTTGGGCTTCGATATCTATTAAGGTTCCTAGCAATACATAGTTTGACAGCCATTAAAACATGAATGGTTAAATATGAAGATGGTTTAGCCATTTTTGGCATATCTTTGTGAAATACGAATCTTTCTGGGGTCAAAGTGATATTTAATTTTAGATCAGTAAGAAGTTTAGATACTCCCAGTTTAAGAATATCCAAGCCAACACAGTCTCACCAGATATGTTTAAGTGAACCAAGTTCTCTATTACATCTCCAGCAGTAATTGGAGGAATTTATTTGAAACTTACATAGTTTAATGGGAACCATATACCATCTGTGAATACGCTTAAGGAAGGTTTCTTGTATATTTATTCAATGAATCGTTTTCTTTATTAACTCAAATTAATTTGACCAGGCTTGACAAGAGAAGGACTTATCCAGATCGATTTTCCACTTAATGACAGTATTCAATTTAACTTCTTGATTAAGTGTATCCAAGACTCTTCTAATTCTTGAAGGTTTATTAGTGCCCTCCCCATAGAGAATCTTATCAAAGGGTGAGCCCCTAATTAAAGATGTTTTATGTAGAAAATCTATTATTCTTAGATAAGTAAAATATTCTTTATTCGATAAACCTGATCTTTCCTGTAAGTACGAAAATTTACTAATCCCAGAGGTACCATATAAGTCTTGAATTTTTACCAACTCTATTTCTAATCAACCAGACAAATTAAAATCCTGGATAAAAATTTTCAAGCCTTCTAAAAGAGCATTTCTAGAGATTTGATTTTGGAAATATTTATTTATCGGCTCTATAGATTGGAAAACATGAGAAATAAGTAAGTTGTCAATATTCAAGTTTCTGAATAACTTCTTATCTGCCCCCCAAAAAAAACCAAAAGGGTCAAAAGTACCACATAATCTTTTTCATATATATATATATATATATATATATATAAATATATATATATATATACCATGATTTCATTGTTGAATTTCCGTTTCCCAGTTCCAAAAAATGGGAAAACGTCACAGTATCATGAGTATAAAATATATTCGGGAACGATAATCCTCCATCTGCTAATCTTGTCGACATAACTTTTTAAATGCAATCCATGGTTTCTTACTGCACAAAACATATGATATAAATAAGCAATGGAATAAATGTAGTGTCTTCTTAGGAACTGTAAGGGGAATTGTGCGAAAAAGATATTCCAATTTTTGAAGTAAATATGCTCTAATAGTATTTATTCTTCCCAGCCATGATATTTGTAGTTTGGACCATTTTGAGATAGTATTTCTAAATTCTTTAAGAAGTGCATTATAGTTGTCAGTGATCCACACATCAATATTAAAAATAATAATTGTTCCCAAGTAACAAATGGAATTAGAAGACCAGTTAAATTTATGGTCATTGTTCAGATTTTCTACTTGAGGGTATGAGAGATTACAATGTAGAACTTGCGTTTTTTTTTCATATTGATTATATAATTGGAAAATCTACTATATTCTTCTATTCATTGTAGTGTGGCTGGTATAGAGACCTCTGGATATGTTAGTGTCATAATTATATTGTCTGTGAACATAGTTATTTTTTGTTTTTGGTCGCCTAAAGGCACCCCAGTTATATTATGAGTTTGTCTGATATATGCAGCTAGTGGCTCGATAGAGAGAATATAAAGGAGGGGTGCCAATTTTTAGCCTTAAATTTGAACTTTATTTTGAATGCCTGACGATTCACTCTAGTGAATAACCCTGATATTGTGCAGTATGACCTAATTGGCATATCATGAGATTCTAATCCACAGTTTTTCTTACATTATTGTTCTCATGTTCTGTCCAATTATTCTAGTATTTTCATGCTACATGTACAATAGACACTGGCTGGGGCGCATTGTTACTGGGTTTGTTAAACGTTTGTTTTATGTAACAAGAAAACTTTTGTTTTACAGGACAGGGTGGATTCTCTTACCTGAAGGAATGGCTTTGGTGGGCTGGACTCATTTCAAGTAAGTTTATAACAGATCGTTTGCCGTAATTGAGTTTCATTACGGAATTTTTATTGCTGTTGTTACAGAGGTGGCAACTATTTAAAGTATTCTGGTATGCTATATGCTGAGTGTCATTAATAATGGCCATTGTTCATTGTAAAAGTTAAGTCACCAAAGATTGTCTGTTAAATGCCAATCTACCCCCATGTTCTAAGGAAATAACAAGTAGCATTCTTTCCTTTTCGTCTCATTAATCATGTTCATGCCCTGTATCGTGAGCTGTGACAAATGAAATATTCTAAAATAATCATAAATAATGTATCTGTGTGACATTTATAGCAGTCTTAAACTGTTATTTCTCAAGATTTTTAATGTTATGGTCACTTGTTAGCAATACTTAGCATATGTGGTTGTAAAGTATAAATAATGTAATTAAATGTTAAAAATTCACACCATTCTACGCTGGATCTGGGTAACTGTCATGGTCCTGCTTGGCAGGTATATGCTAAGCAACATAACCACTTTAAAGTGTTGTAGTAGTTATGGTGTCAAGTGTTTCTGGGCACCATCCCATGATAAGCTGTGGAACCAGTTACGAATGGTGTGTCATTTAGCTGGCTCTGTCGGGCCCCTATAGCACTTGTGATCTGAACTGTTATGTTAAAGTAGAAGTTTATACCTTTGAATTAGTCTGCCAACAAAGGTGAACTCATTTCTAGACATGTGCAATTCGTTTCGGTCTGAATTTAAATTCGGACGAATTTCAGCAATTCGGACATTCGGATGCTTCCGAATGTCCGAATTGCCAAAGTGCTGAATTTCCGAATTTCGGAAGTCACGAATTGCCGAAGTGCCAAACCGAACCGAATTGCTGAAGTGCCAAAGTGCATCGGATTTCTAAAAAGTGGCAAAACTGGAGAGGGAGGTAAAATCAAGGAAATGATGACACGAATATAACCCTAACCCTAACACTCACTAACCACTAACAAATGATATTTGGGGGTCTTGGTACCAGCAGGGATTTAATTGAATGCAATCTTCCCACTTGGAGGGATTGGGACAGCATACATTATTATGGGGACTGTATTGATCATTATAGTTACAGTACGGATGGACATGTCAGGGCACACCAACACTCCTTGGTTACTTAGTAACTGTAATGAACATGTTAGAAATAAGTAACACTCTCCCCGTCCACACTGGACGCACCCTAGGCCTGAATGTAGAAAGAAAAGAAGTCTTATCAGTGCAAATAACTCTGCAAATCTTACTTTTGTATGTCAATGGGCAGGACTTTCTATAGTGAGCTCACTTCAGAATAAAAATAAATGTTAATGTGACGTTAATTTCAGAGAGATGTTTTTTTAAGTTTTATTATTATATTGATTGGGATTGACACACCAACAGTACATATGTGTGTGCTATATGTGCACAGTGCTATAACAAACAGGATTTAAAGCATGGCACCAAAATACAGTACTCAACCATTCCATGCTGTGTAGAGGCCATGAAAGCAGTGTTAATTTTGGCAGCAAATTTCCATTCAGTTTTAGTCTAGTTTTATTTGATTAAATCTCCAGTAGATTTTAGTCGACACAACTAAAACCTAATGGGTTTAGTTAAAGCTTCTACCTGTCTCTTTTGACCTTTCACCCACCCCTCTGTGTCTCTTTGTGTCCCCCAAGCCCTTCTGAAAGTCTTTCCCCAAGTCTCGGTCTGTCTCTTTTGCCCCTTCCTCAGCCCCTTTGTGCAGTGTTAATTTTGGCGGCTAATTTCAATTTAGTTTTAGTCATAGTCTTTTGACTAGAATTCCATTTTAGTTTTAGTCTAGTTTTAGTCGACTAAATCTCAAAAATAGTCGACTAAAATTAGTCTAAAATAGTCGACAAAATTGGCACTACATCAGAAAGGGCCATGTAATGTCATCAGACTCCTCTACATATATATAGGATTGCCGCAAAATATTGGGCTTTTTTGAGAAATTGTAGGTGACTTACTAATAATAATTTATGCAACAAAAGCTTAATTTAGAACAAGGACAACAAATCGTGTTTACACAGACTGATTTCTAAACTCACTTATTGTAGTTTAACCCCTTAAGGACACATGACATGTGTGACATGTCATGATTCCCTTTTATTCCAGAGGTTTGGTCCTTAAGGGGTTAAAGACACATTACTGGGAGTATTATTGCTGTTAAGCTCTATTATAATAAATTAACACATACTGAGAATATTGGGATCTTGGGCATTTGGATAGAAAAGAGGTGCAGAGGCATTTGGACACAAGACAGGGATTGTTCCTCCTAAACAGGGACACTTGGGAGGTATGCTCTTGGTTAGCCTGTGCAACACTACTAATTGTCTTCTCCCCAAGCCTGCTCTGAGTCAGTGTGTGCAAGTGTCAGAATGGGAACCTTTGAAAGCATATAAACAACATTCCATCATTTTAAATAATGAGTACATTTGCTTGTTGGTTATAGAAACCTAAACCTCAATGTTGTTGATTCTTTGCCGTATGCTGCCATTTTATCTGTCTGTGTGACTTAGGTCATATCAGCTGTGTGATCACCTTGCTGTAAGTAAAATAACAAGTCCTACAGAAAGCAACAAACGCTTCCAACTATAGGGAGACAAATAAAATTGCATAATTCATACCATAAATCAAATGCTAGTATGCTATATTAATTTACCCAGTTGCAGCCCAGATATTTTTTATAACCATCCCTTATGTCAGCAGCGTGACCACCCCAATTGACTCAAATAACCGAAATAGCTTCATCCCCATTGCTTACAAATTGTACGGCAATGCATCGTAACAGATGAGTATTTTGTGAATCCATTCAATCACTGAAAAATACTCATACTGTTGTTTTTGTTTTATTTTATTTTATTTTTTTTCTTATTCAGTTGAACTTTTAAATTTAAATTGTTCTTTGGAATTTATTTGCAATTATTTTATTATTTTTATAGTGGCTGCAGGAGAAGGTGCAAACTTTGCTGCATATGCATTTGCCCCAGCAACGTTGGTGACGCCACTTGGTGCACTGAGTGTCCTTATATGGTATGTAAGACATACAAGCCTAAATAATGTGCAACAAAAAAAATTCTGAATCAATAAATATTCAATTTTTTTTTTTTTTTTTTTGCAACTCTGCAGTTATGTGCAACAACAGAATATAATATTTATAACATGAAAAAATGCAAAACTAAAACATATAATGAAAGGTTCATGTGATTATGGTCCCCGTGTAGTACTGTATTGTCAAAGTATCACAGACTGTTCAAATCCTGAAATAGCCAGCCTTATATAAATGATATTACAATGTCCACACCAAAATGCATATCTCCCAACAAGTCAAATGGACGAAGAGGGACACTTTCATTTTAGGGGTGTGAATGGATTTATGCAGCTAAAATGTAATTTAGAACATTATCAATGTATCTTGTTAAAGCAGACTGATTCCTAAACACATTTATTGAGTTTAAAGGAACACCATAGGCACCCAGACCACTTTAGCTCAATTGAAGTGGTCTGGGTGCACTGTCTCAGTCCCCTTAATCCTGCAATGGTAATTATTGCAGTTTTTCCAAAAAAGGAGGATTTAGTGTAAACGCTCTGTACAAACACATTGTTCATGATTAATATTTTTGCACAAGCTTTTCAAATGGTTTAATATTTTTATATTTTATATATATTGATGTATTTTTTTTATATATATTATATGTTATTATTTTGAAAAAAATTATTTTAAACAGTTATCCAAAATATGAAATCATTTAAAGGTTATCTTAAAATATGAAGTAAGTCCATTACCACAGCAAAGGATCAAAACATGTTTTATGTCTCAACAGTGCTGTCCTGTCGTCATATTATCTGAACGAGACACTGAACATTCATGGAAAGCTGGGCTGCTTCCTGTGCATTCTGGGCTCTACAATGATGGTCATTCATGCACCTCAAGAAGAAGAAGTTACTTCCTTGCATGAAATGGAAATTAAATTAAGAGATCCTGGTTAGTAATTTTAAGAATCTTGAGTCCTAAATAAATTAGTTAATTTAAAGAAAGATTCCATTGGTAGATGCAATAATATGTAATGTGTACACTGTCTTTTGATGCTCTATATATTGATTACAGTCACAAATTGGGTACCATTGGTCTTTTTATATTCCTCTTATCAGAAATGATGAAGATGAAGTTGGTTTAAAGTTATTTTGAAAAATAATTTTAAAGTTATCCAAAAATTTGAAATCATTTGAAAGCTTATCTTAAAATATGAAGTATGTCCATTACCACAGCAAAGGATTAAACCATGTTTTATGTCTCAACAGTGCTGTCCTGTCGTCATATTTTATCTGAACAGTTGTCTTTTTGTTTAGCCAGTGAACACTTGAAACAAGAATGAATTTATAAGTTGATTTTTTTCCGAATCCCTAACACATGAAATTCTACCTTCTCTTCCCCTTCTCTTATTAATGGATTGTATTGATTTCTTTGCTATCGATTGTGACTGTTATTGTAGTAGTGTTTTCTGTTTATCTGTGGTGCAGAAAGCGACAATGTTTCATATAATTATCTCTTAAAGAGAAGATTTCGAAGATGTCGATGGAGGACAGTGGCAAAATATTAAAAATCATTAGTATTTTCTATTTTAATTGTTAATGGAAAGCTGTCATCTTTTATTATCGCTGGCAATAAAAGGTTATCGCTGAAAATGAAAGATTGCTTGCAATATACATCATATTGTAACAAATATGTATATGTTCATAACTGATTTTACACATTTTGACATTGTTTAAAATCCTTGCTTTGAAATGTTACTTTTGTTTTGCCATTGTCAGATAGCTCTCAACCTGCTCTGTCACTGGTCCATACTTGTTTAGACTGACTAAGTCAGGCTTCTTTTCAAATAGTGTTGAGTGCGGTGAGGTTTCCATTGTGCAGCTTTCCACTTAAATAGTGAAAATGTTGAAACCTTTAGATATATTAGCAGGAGTTATCATCTGAAACGTTTCTGTATTACTTTGCCACATCCTTTGTTTTGACTATAAATGTCTTTAAAAATGACAAGGCAGCCATTTACAAAATATAAAAATGGGTGAAGAAGCTAATAGATGGTACATGGTCCCACCAAAACTAGTAATACAACAGAAGGAAAAAAAAACGAAAATGGTCCATCACAAACCTCTCAAATTAAATGTTTATTAGGTGCCTATACAGAACAAGCAATAAGGCCTTTTTTATGGCACCTAATATAGGAAAATATAATTTGAGAAGTTTGTGCTGGATTATTTTTGGTTCTAGGTAGCCATGAGTTTAAAGGAACACTTTAGGCACCCAGACCATTTTAGCCCAATTGAAGTGGTCTGGGTGCACTGTCTCAGTCCCCTTAACCCTGCAATGGTAAAAGAAGGATTTAGTGTAAACGCTCTGTAGAAACACATTGTTCATGTTTAATATTTTTGCATAAGCTTTTCAAATGGTTTAATATTTGTTATATATTGATGTATGTATGTATATATATCTATATATTATTATTTTGTAAAAATAATTTTAAAGTTATCCAAAAATTTGAAATCATTTGAAAGCTTATCTTAAAATATGAAGTAAGTCCATTACCACAGCAAAGGATCAAACTATGTTTTATGTCTCAACAGTGCTGTCCTGTCGTCATATTTTATCTGAACAGTTGTCTTTTTGTTTAGCCAGTGAACACTTGAAACAAGAATGAATTTATAAGTTGATTTTTTTCCTAATTCCTAACACATGAAATTCTACCTTCTCTTCCAACAGGGTTCATCACATTTGCTACACTTGCAGTTGTGGCATCCTTGGTGCTTATATTTATAGTTGCCCCAAAGAATGGACAAACCAACATTTTGGTATACATCGCCATATGTTCTATCATAGGAGCATTCTCTGTGTCATCTGTGAAGGGAATTGGAATAGCAATTACGGAATTCATAGAAAGGAAACCTGTCTACAAGGATCCCCTGTTCTACATCTTATTGATCATCCTAGTGATCTCCGTGAGCACACAGATAAATTATCTCAACAAAGCACTAGATGTCTTCAATACATCTATTGTGACCCCAATTTACTATGTCTTCTTTACCACCATGGTGGTTACCTGTTCTGTGATATTATTTAAAGAATGGAACAGTATGAATGTCAGTGATATCATCGGAACACTAAGTGGATTCCTCACCATTATTATTGGTATTTTCTTGCTACATGCTTTTAAGAACACCAACATTACTTGGAGCCAGATCACGTCCAATGTAAGGAAAGAAAAACAAAAGCTTGCTGATGAGCATGAAGATCAACACAGCTTGCTCGGGAGCTCAGAAAGTTCACTATTGGCGTTTGAAGATGAAAGACAAGATGAACGCTACTAATCCAGGATATAGCTAAATGCCAAGAGGTGTCCTCATCTCTTGCCTGTTTGTGCTTTATTTGGTTCTTGTACAGAGTATTGGACTTCAACCAGTTAAAATGTTTATCAATGTATATAAATATTGTATATAGTCAATAGTTTCATCATATTTTGTGGACGCACTTCGTTCTGTGTACACGTCGAGAGGTGTTGCAATTCTGGGTAACGTTATCAAATATTATAAATGTATAAGGGACCCTTTGATGAGTACAGAGCTGCCATTGCTAGCATATTACATGTACATATCAATCTGGGTAGCTGACCAGACAATTTTGTTAATACTGCAACAATTGATCTGTCCTAACGTGTGACCGATGTTTGTTGTGCATAGACAAAAGAGCAATGAAAATATTTATTATTTTTGAGAAAATCTGCACAGCTATGTATGTCTTTTTTACTTTAATAATCATTTTCACTGCACCTTATTCCCATTCTCATTAGGTAACCTATTCATTATATAAGTTAGCTTTATTGAGGACGTCATATAGGCTACCAGATCTTGCATTGCTTTCTAGAGATTTTCATGGGTTCTTTAAACCACAGAGTTGGATTCATATATTTGTTGCTTTGTGGTTACAATATTTATAGATTATTTTTATAGTTCTACCATATTGGTAGTGGTCAAATGAAACACCAGCTGCAAATGTACAATGAGTCTGGCAGTGCACGCTATTTGGGATTTATAGAGATCTAATCCATATTTATATCTTAATGTATATGATAAGGCGCCATTATCAGTATTGTGATTGCAGAGCTTAATCAAATACTCTTAATATTAAGCTCCAAAGACAAAAGCAATCCAACAATGATTGAAAAACATGCATCTTGTACAAGTGCTAAAACCTGTTTCAGACCTGAATCACCGCTGCCGTTTTTACCCAAAAAAGTATAAAAATTGTACCTAGAGACCCATGCACAGATCTCTTTCCTGCACAGATCGACTTTCAGTGGTGTCACAGACAGCAGGGCCTAGCACGTGATGTCATGCGCCTGCTGTCCAGGCCTGTGAAAGTAGAGTTTGACCTAATGTAGGAGAGAGATCTGTCCTTTCTAGTGCAAAGCTCTACTGCAGCTCCACTAAGCAAGAGATATCCCAATTTACTCCTCAGGACCACAAAGTTGAGCACTGGTAGTTGTTTGTGTGCAATTTTATAGTTTTTTTGCATTGGCTAATTATGGCTTCAGCATTATAAATACATATATTTATAGGGCTGTTGTGTTGTGAACTATTTCAGATTACTGAGCCCACCCTCTCCCTAACTTTACTGTAAAATAAATCTGTTACTTACATGGACATAATTACTAGTGATGATTTCCCAGCCAATCCATTGAATTGGTAGACGGGGAACATGAAAGGCAATAGGTTCAAACCTCTACCAATGCTTCTCATAGAGAAGCATTGAATACAAAGCTACTTTTTGAGAAGTCTCACATTGCTTTGAGCGCTCAAAACAATAAGGTAGAGAACCCTTCCAGCTGTCCAAGAGGAAGGAGGATGTACTGATTTTTCTTGAAATAACCACTATTATGAAGTAATAGTTAACCCCTAAAGCACTTCAGTGAACCAACCTTTAGTTTTAGGTATTTAGAGTGGTCCATTAAACCTCTGGCAGCAATACATATATGCAGTATATATGGCACTTTATAAATAGTTGTAATATATATATATATATATATATATATATATATATATATATATATATATGTATATATGTGTGTGTATATATATATATATATATTACACCAGTTATTTATATGGCACCAACAGATTCCATATATATATATATATATATATACAGTATATCTCATACATATCATATCACAGCAATGCATTTTTTTTCATCTCGTAAAACTCTTTTCTGTGAATTGTTTTGTGTAGCTGAAATATTTATTAATTGATCCTTTATATTGAGTAATATGCACCTCTCTCATGATTACTCAGGAAACTCTAAATCCGTACTTTTATTTGTGTCATTGGATGAGAAACCAGGTTTGTGGCATTTTCTGATGAGTAGTGGCATTTTCCATGTGTGGAATATATGTACTGTGCACTTTACCTATTAACACGATTCACTCTAAGGGGAAGCCTTGTTACACAGGTGAATACTATCCAGCTTGGAAATGTTGTCCTTTTGACTAATTAACATAATGTTCTGGAACTGCAGAAGGGCAAAAGGTGTGAGTGTACAGATTGTGGATTTAACAAAATTGAAGGTTATTGTCATGTCCTCCACATTCTGAATTTGTTCACTAAAGTTTCTTCTAACAGCATAACTATTTAATGACACACCCCAGGGCTAACACAGACATGCTTCAAAAGCTACGTTTAGATATTAGCAGATATGACGTAAAGGACCCAACCCTTAGTTTCTAGGTAAAGTCTGACACACTCATTCTCACCTTCTGTCATTTTTTTGCCACCACTTACCTTTTTCATGTTTTGTTTTTGTTTTTTGAATCCCTGTTGACTTTAGAGGAGGTGGGTAAAATTAACAAAACCAGGGTAAGCTGTGCATTTTGCTCCATGACCAGCAAATCAGGGTTTCCATGAATGTAATTTGAGTTTAAATTACCGAGATCCAAGGTGGCAAAGAATCCCTGGGATGTTAATCGACTGTGTATTTTACTTAATCATGTTATAACATGTTATATGTGTATCATACAAAGCATGCACATCACACTCATCAACTCCTACACATTCAGCTAAATGCACTTTTCTCATACATATCACACTCAAAATACAGAGGAGCTCCGTGATACGCTAATTTACTCTGCAAATCTCTGAGTTTTATTGGTGTGGAGCTTTGTGATAAACACTTTACTTTTCTCATACTTAATGTAATGGGATTTTTTTTTTACTTTTGTCTCGCATACCCCATAGGAACAAGTTTGAAAAGGGTGTTTGATTTACAACTAGCATTAATAAAACAAAAAAAACAACAACACATTACTAAGAGGCTGGGGTGACACCATTAGTTACCGCACCGGGTGACAACAACCTTAGTGACGTAATTGCTTTGCCTCCAATTCATTTTATCATGTCTAAATATCTACCTCAGAGACACTTAGCCCATTGGTGTATTTGAAATTTTTATTTCTGTCTGACACATTTTTGTTACTTTTTTATTTATAAAATTTGGCAGGAATTTTGTGAATAAAAACAAATCATGACTCTTCTAACATTTTTTATATATTAAAAATAATGTATGCGCAACTTATTGTTATTAATGGATTGTATTGATTTCTTTGCTATTAATTGTGACCGTTATTGTAGTAGATTTTTTTATATATATAGGTTCATTGTTTGGACAAAACACTAAGAAATTGACACAGACTTTTACTTTGTTTTCTGTAGATAGTAGTTTGTCTGTGGTACAGATAGCGACAATGTTTCATATAATTATCTCTTAGAGAGCAGATTTGGAAGATGTCGATGGAGGACAGTGGCAAAATATGAAAAATGATTAGTATTGTCTATTTTAATTGTTAATGGAAAGCTGTCATCTTTTATTATCGCTGGCAATAAAAGGTTATCGCTGAAAATGAAAGATTGCTTGCAATATACATCATATTTAAACAAATATGTATACGTTCATAACTGATTTTACACATTTTTACATTGTTTAAAATCATTGCTTTGAAATTCAACTTTTGTTTTGCCATTGTCAGATAGCTCTCAACCTGCTCTGTCACTGGTCCATACTTGTTTAGACTGACCAAGGCAGGCTATTATGAATCACAAGTGGAAAAAAGCTCTATGACGATGTTCCCTTAAAATAGATCACCTGAAGTTGTTTTGGGAGGACAGGATAGGTTAGTAATAAAGGACACTGAAATATATTTAGAACATCGGCCACCACTACCTTGATCCAATGATGTGTTTGTAAATTATTTTCTTAGTAGAATGCTTTTTCATTTTTAATTTAGAAAATATTCCAGTGCCAAAACAGGAAACCGTTTACACCATAGATTTCTTTAAATTGTGTATTATTGTACAGTTTTTTTTTTTACATTTATTTTTGTATTTCCTTTGATGAGAACAAAGTATCCCTGCAACCAGCAATGCCAGTCTTGCATTGATTAATGAAGATCTTCTGGGAATATGCAATGTTTTATATACAAAGAGTCCATAGTAAATAATCAGACTGTGAAATGGTAATTTGCTGCTATCATTGCATTTTTGTAAAATTATTCATAGCAGTGCCTTCTATCATTTAAAAATATATAAGAAACAAATGTGCTGATATAATTTTACTATGCAAGTACAATAAACATTATTTGGATAAAACCTGCATGATTTCTATTAAGTGTTTTTTTTTTTTCATTTTTAATAGCAAACCAAATATAATATATTGAGACCATACTTAAAGTGATGCTCTAATCCAGCGGTTCCCAAACTTTTTAGGTGCAAGGCACCCTTAATATTTCAATATTTTTCCATGGTTCCCGGTGCTATAATAATAGTAACCAGGAAACATTTTGCGGCGCCCCTGTGTGCCCATTGTGGCGTCACATAGTTTGGGAACCGCTGTTCTAATCAACATGTTTCTGGTGGCTGAGCCTAGTATTTTGTTACCCAATCACTGCAGTCCAGGTTGGATAAAACTGACACTGAAAATGCAGATGTGTTAACTCCACATTATCAATGAGGTCGAAGAGGGTCAGTATCTGAACGCTGTGGAGAGCCCAGTGCACCCAAACCACATTTACATGTTTTGACATGAAATTAAATGATGGCACAGTGAAATTCAAGACAACATAGAATAACCGCTACAGAACTGTATTGGTTATTTTTCTCAGAGAATCCCATTAAACCCTTCCTAATCAGATGCAGATTGACACCATAATGCAAGTCCCATGCAGACCCCTCACTTTGCCAGAAACCTGTGTGTGCTCTAACTCTCACCTGTGACTCACCTTCAAGACATGTCTAGCACTGCATTGTTCATGTGGAACCCTCTTCTCCACTTTAACTCTCCTTCAGTCTCTACAACTTGAAGTAAAGCTTACTTATTCAGGAAGGTGTTTAATCTGTTATCGTATTTTCCTTTCCTCCCCACAACTCACAACTGACTTCACATCCTCTTCTACTTCTGTGTCATCTAAAAATTAAGATACACTTTATTGTAAACTCTACTTGTAACATTTTCTATGTATGAAATAAATTGTACACTTATCTTTTGTGCAATTTTACCCTTAGAATATAAACTTGTTTGAGTAGGGCCCTCACAATGGTCTATTCCAGTAGGTCCAACTTGTCTTGCTGCAACTATGTGAATGTCCACATTGTGTAGCTTTTTACAATGTGTCTGTGCCTTATCACCAATAACAAAAATAATAATACGGAGCAAATATTGATCTACACATTGATCATCTCAACCGCCACTCACTACACATCTCAAAATCAGAGAGGAAAAAGCGACTTCAAAAAAGTTGTTGCTGAAAGCATGTGGCTTACCACCAAAATAGATCACTCTACCATAACCTAATTCACTTTCTTTCTTTCTTTCATTTTTTTTTTTTTTATCTTTATTTTTGATGTGCATGGTATAACAATAGGCTTGTTCAGCCACAATAGCAGTCACAAGCAGTAATGTAATGAACAGTTGAAACATAACGTGGTATATGAGTATACAGCACATTTTTAGTTTTGTAAGAGAAAATATAAACAGAACAGCATTCCTCAAGCACATTTTTAAGTGTAACAATTGAAGCAGTAGGATTGTCGGCACATTTTTATACGTTAAGTAATGTAGATTATGTCAGGTTGTTAATTAAGCGATACACAATAGCAAGAATCTTGAGTACAATGAGTGAATTGACATGACTGGTAACATGCTGGGTTGGTACATCTTCCTATCAAATTAACAGGCTAGGAGGGTACATTTTTCATTATTTATATAGCAAGCTATATCAGATAGCTTTGTTGTCAGAGTGTATTTATACAGTCGATGTCTAACAATGCTAGGATACGTTTGCTAGGGTATCTGTTATAAGAGGCAAGTGCTTATTTACAAAGGCATAGTACTTATGCTAAACAGTAGGCCTAGGCGTATATTCTAAGGCTGCATCAATACGTGGGAAGATGCCTAGGGTTGCAGTGTGGCTGACTAACCGTTAATACACATTTAAGCAAGACAGTAAAGGGTTGCTGGCATACTGCACAGCACATAGGAGGCAACAGGTGGGGCGATCACTGAGTTCTATATGCGCGGTTTGGCTCTCAGTGTCCAGTCCAGCCGGCGGCCATCCGCCCCAAGTAAGCAATCTGGTGTTTGCTTTAGCCGATACCCATTTCAGGTATGCTTTTGCTGCGGGCTTTTGGCTTCTCCAGGGTTGAGGTGCGGTAAGGGCAGCACTCACCCTCTTGTTGACTTCGGGCCGGGTCAAGGACTGACGACTTCCGGCTCCAGGCCCTATGTCTCAGAAGGTCCAAGTCCTGTTTGCCACGTGGGTGGTGGAGGGTTGTGTTGCGTGTTCGTCGTTTGCATCGGATTTTTTTTCACCCTCGTGGTGTTCGTTGCGGGGTATGCACCCCTGTTGTCCTAGGCTTGCGTGGGCTGGTCCTGGACTTTGTGGTTTGCAGGGTAGGTATTGCGCCCGTTTGATAACCTTCAGTGTTAGGGCTTGGGCCCCTTTGCACTTTCTTTAATTTTAACGACACTGTGCTAAGACAATATATGCAGAACCCATAAGTAGTGTATGCTTTTCCAGTTTTTTAAGGCCTTTTCATTGCTAGCCTACCAGGCAACAAATTCATATGTATCACTACATAGTTCCGTTAAACTCATTCACCCAACAGCCATTATGCATCAGGTTGGGTGAATCAGGCCATTATGCGTCAGGTATCATGATGTACCACAGGCTGCAGCATAAAACTAGCAGGCAACGTGTTCACCCTTAAAGTAATCTTAAATAGTGCCTTATGAACCACTACTTGCTTTTGCAATAGCTGAGAGAGAGATCTCTTGAAGGCATGAGCCCCATTTATTTTACTTAGTGATTCTATAGGTTTTATAGTTGGACAATAATCCACAATAGCATATTTAATTCAAATCCACAAAATCTTATCTCTTCCCCTTCACCCAAAAAAAAAGTACATCCATCTGATCAGTATGGAAGCCCGAACATAATCCTTCCTATGTACAATAGCAAGTCAAGTACATATGAAGTAAGTACATATCTTTAACGCCTGATACGGCTAAGGTCCATGCTGCTGTCCTCTCTTGCCTTGACTACTGTAATCCGCTTCTCAGTGGTCTTACGTGTTCCCAGCTGGCCCCGTTACAGACTATAATGAATGCGACGGCAAGGCTCATCTTCCTGTCTGCCCACACCTCCCATGCGCCCCTCCCCCTTTGTCAGTCCCTACATTGGCTTCCCGTAAGATATAGGACTCAATTTAAGATCCTGATACTTGCTTAAAAATCTCTACACAATGCAGCTCAGAACTTCTTATCCTCATTTATACACAAATATGCCCCATCTAGGCCCCTACGGCGGAGACCTACGTCTAACCTCTGTTCGTACTCCTACCTCTGATGCTCACCTTAACCCCTTAAGGACACACGACATGTGTGACATGTCATGATTACCTTTTATTCCAGAAGTTTGGTCCTTAAGGGGTTAAAGACTTCTCTAGGGCTCCATTTATATGGAATGCCATTTCCCTCTCTATTTGACTTTCTGTCTCCATGCCTTCAACATTTTTTGAAAACTTACTTCTTTAGGAAAGCATATCAATTAAACTGTCAACACTCAACAGCTTTCTCTCCCCGCACAATGATTCCTCTCCTGCAACTGTCATCAAACAAAACACTAAGCCCTCAATGAATACTATCCTAGAAACCTACTTTTCTACCCTACCCTTACCTTTTGTGTCACTTTACCCCACTCCCTCGAGCATGTAAGCTCATTGAGCAGGGCCCCCAATCCCTTTATACCTGTGTCCAACTTGTCTGGTTACAAATAGGTGTCTGTTAGTCCACCCATTGTACAGCTCTGTGGAATTTGTTGGCACTTTATAAATAATAATAATAATATCAAGACAAAGTAAACATCCACACAACTCCAAAGTAAAATTGTATTCAGTTAACAGGCTTACAACCTATGATGTGTATAAAATCAGTTGAACTGTATTTTCAGTCAAACTCAATTTAACTACTTCGATTGACAGATGTAAGAATATGTTCCCTAAACTCACCGGACACATAATAAATATTTGGGTAAAAACATGAAAGAAAATATAAATGTGTCAAAGGAAAACCGTGTCTATACCGAGCAGTGTCGGGTCAAAAGTGCGTAAACATCAGGTGTATCCCTCTGCCCAGCAGCATCAAATACTCAGGCATTTTCTTTTCTTTCGTCCCGATCTATTTTTGACCTGCATATGCAAAACATTACAGTATTCTCTTATACACATGCGTCAGCCTTAAAACAAAATTGATGCAAATAGTCTTTACAAGCATAATGTACCTACAAAATGACCTAGTCACACTAACAACCTGCCACTGCATCTTATCTTGTTTTTTTAACCAACATGGGTACATTTTTCAAAACATTGTATACAGAATGCATAGAGCACCCAGAAATGTAGATATGCTCACTGCAGGGCCGGACTGGGAAAAAAATTAGGCCTGGGCATTTTTCAATCAGAGCGGCCCCCTAAGAGGGGCGGGGCCAGAGAGGGTGTATTTTGTCATCAGTGGCGTACTAGGGAGAGGCTGGGGTAGTCCGCTGCGGGTGCCATCAGGTAGGGGGGTGCCACCAGGGCTGGCCAGGCTTGGAGTTCAGTGAGCTGTGTGGCTGCACTGGTTGCCATAGCAGCAGGGTCGCCGGGCAGCCGACACAGCTCACACACACACAGGGGCTGGGAGCAGGAGACATTTGGGGGTGGAGCCAGATCGGCTGTGGGGGCAGAGCCAAGCCAGATGTGGGGGCGGAGCTAGATGCAGCCTCATACTGCTGCACACAGAGGGGAAGCAGGAAGGAGTCCCTACTTCCCCAACTACAGCACAGGAGGGACTGAATCCACTCCTCCTCCAACCCAAGCTTACTGTAAGTGAGAGAGAGTGTGTTCTGTGTGTAACTGTGATTGTCTTTGACTGTGTGTGTGATTGTCTGCCTGTGTGTGTGTGTGACTGCCTGTGATTGTCTGTGTGACTCTGTGTGTGTGATTGTCTGCCTGTGTGTGTGTGACTGTCTGCCTGTGTGTGTGTGTGTGACTGTCTGTCAGTGATTGTGTGTGTGTGTGTGTGTGTGTGACTGTCTGTCTGTGATTGTGTGTGTGACT